CGCCTGTCCGTGTACATCAGAAAAATAAAAATTGAAACATAGATTCTAATGAAATCTTACATTTTTCCGGAAAAATTCCCAGAATTTTTTTAACACTGTACAAACCCCTTCGGTAGCGCGCAGGAAGACCTTGATGTTGATTTTTAACTCATTACTGTAGTTTTGTGTACACCGTCTACACCGAATACATGTGCTCATTGAACCTAGAAACATTTTAATTTACGCCAGTCTTTAACTTATTTATCAAAAAAACTTTTCAATTTATTTTTTTACAAATGTGTTCACTTTTTATTTTTTTGCTTCTATATGTACAATGGGTGTTTAGATTTTTGCTGGAGTGTTGACATACAAAGAAAAAAATCAAGAAATAACAGTAAAAAAAGCCTGTTTCTAAATCTGTAAATAGTATGTGCCTATCACTCTGACCCCAGGCGCCAGCTATCCGCCAGAAAAAAAGTCATTTCGCCAGCTCGCGCCCATTTGCTTTTTATTACTGTATTTTATATTTTCGATCTAAAAATTTTGGGACTCGCGTTTTTTTGTCTTTTTGTTTTTTTCTATTCGATTTTTTCTGATTTCACGATTTTTCAGTGTTCGTTTCCTGTTTTGTCCAAACTAGCGCAGAAGCGATGCCGCAATGCAGTTTCGATGTAACAAGCAATTTTTCTTGATTTCATTTTTCCTTTTTTTTTGTAAAAATTCAAAAAGCTGTGTATAGAAGTAGAAAACTGTAGGTTGCGTAGGTCGTTCAAAGAAAGAAACGCGATTTTTTGCAGGACAATTGAATTTATAAGATAGTTTTTTTACATCTGGAGTTTTGCAGCAAAGGCACGTATCCTCCTTCAAACGAAACCAAAGAACAGACTTTAGTTGAAAAGAAGTTTAAAAAAAGTCAGAAAAATTATTAGAATATAAACCTTTGTTTTTATTTGTGTAGAGCTCAGTAAATGTGATGCGACGGAGGGTTTCAGGTTTAAAAAACAACAGCTTGAAAGGTTGGTAAATAAGAAACTTCGAATTATTTTCTCGATTTAGTTTCGTGGATGATCAACCGCTCTAAAAGCTTAATTTTTTCATGCTGAACTTCTATTTCCGTGAGGCTGAAAGAACGACTCCAGTTGAATCAGTAAGTGCTGTCTACTTTTTTCCTCAACTGCTTCCTTCAGAAAAAAAGCATCGTCAGGAAGTCCCCGTTACGGCTGGAGGATGTTTTTTTTTCCTCTGACTTTGGTTAGTTTTGGATTTCATGTAAAGTACTTCATCGATATATTTTCGATCTCACCCGACGGTGTCATGATGTTCATTGCAAATGGATAACGATGCTTTGACCAAAATACGGAGAACGGGTACGACGCAAAATGTCCGCGAAATTTTCAAGTTTTTTTATATTTGTAAACTTTACACGTTCATCAACGTTATGAGCCTCAAAAATATCTTGATGCACCCAAATTATTGTATTTTTGTGTCCGTAAAAATTCAGCTTTAAAAATACAGCTCGGATATTTTAGCATCAAATATTACTCGGATTTGTCATGCTCGCGAAATTCGGCTGACGAGTAGAGTTTTCGAAGCAGTTTTTTTCGGACTTGAAAATACGTTTCGTAGTTTGCTTTGAAAAGGGGCTGATAAATTTGAAGAACCGTGTGTATCACTGCACAACAAAAATGTGATGCCTTGATCATAATTGTCTTTATTTTGTGGCCATTTGAAGTAAAGTGATAAATGGCTCAAAGTTTTCTTCACGAGTAAAAAATTTTCTATTTTCAAAAAACTTTGTATAAGAGTCTTCTATTTAATTCTCTATAATGCCGTGTTCAAAGTAATTTCCGCGAAATGCAAAATACCCGTTAGAGAAAGGAAAAGATCACTAAATTTTGGAGAGTCAGAGATCATTTTGCATTTTGCGGAAATTACTTTGAACACGGCATAAACTAATTTTAAAACTTACGCCATTTATTAAATAATTAATTAATAGAGCCTTTACCACTTTACGGCCTTTGATTATAAAACTTCCTCAAACTTTTTTTTACATCAGAGACTCTAGTATTGCTCTTTTATCCTCCGAATTTCAACCTTTTAATCGACGTATGTGCGAAAATAACTTGAGAGGATTTGTTAAACAGCTTAATGTATCTATTAAAAAAGTTTTTGAAAGGATTTTTAACTTTGTCTCCGATATAAATTGACTGCTCGTCGATATCACTTCTTAAATGCGTTGAAGCTTTAAAATTTCTCTCTTTTTTTTTGTTATTTTGAAGCAACAAATAACTCTTTGCATATTATCGAAAATTAAAAAAATTTTTTGCGTTTACGAGCGGTCAACTTTAAGTTTCCTTTATTTCTTCGGATTTTTTTGGCTTACATTTTTTTCTAAGATGTATTGTTTGGTAAATTTTTTTGATGTTCTGTTATTATGATCTTTTTTTCGAATCGAAAGATATTGTTTTTAAATTAAGTTGTAAACTTTGCAATCGTTTCCTTCTTATATCTCATTTTTTTCAAGTTCTCTTCATGTTTGATTTTATATGTCGATTTTATTTCTATTAAATTTTGAATTTGTGAAAAATAATAAAAGTTGATAAAATATTTTTTTAGTATATGAAAAATAACAATATTGGAGGAAGAGAAATGATTGAAAAAAGGGGGAATCTGCGCGCTATAGATAACCCTGGCGAATTTCTGGCGCGTTTTTCGCCAGCTCGCCGCGATATGGCGCGCCAGCTCGCGAAAGACGGGGCGCGCGCTGGCGAAAGATTGGCGGAAAGCTGGCGACTGGGGTCAGAGCAAAACATTCCAGCAAGGATTTTTGATGAATCTCGCATTAGCTAACAGTTTTACGAGTGTTCAGTGAACGCTCCAAGTCAGTCTTGATGGAAAGGCCGCTTGGACACAGGCAAGTGCAATATTTCAACGAGATAGATATTTTTTTAATTTTTGCAATATTTCGAAGACCTTTTCAATTTTGGTGAATAAGAAAAATGTGATAGTTTTTACTATAGCTTCATATCTATAAAAAGTTGAATTACTGACCAAAAAAACTTTATTTTTTTTCAATTTTTTTGGTTAGTTTTTTTAAAAATTTTTTTACAGTATGGGGTCGAATGTTTTTCTTACCATGGATTGTAAGTTATCACTAAATTTTTTTCTAACAGTTTTCAATGCTTCTGAAAAAAAGTTATATTCACTGAGAACGAAAAAAAAAACCCAAGAATAATCTAATGAGCGCATCGGTCAACATTTTTGAAGCGTTTTTCTTGTCGAACAGGCGTCCCGCTTTCGGTTGACGTCTCCGTTTAGTCCCGAAACGGCTTGTTATTGTCTCATTGAACTTTCCTCCTATTTACTTATTTAACGATGAGTTGGTCGTAAACATGTTTTGCTGCCCGAAAAAGCATTTAGTTTAAATGAAGAATTTTTTTTTTCTTTTAGAAATTCTTGCCAATTTCTCAGCGCTTTAAATTATCAGCAGAAATCAGTACGGTTTAGTTATTCTTATTTGAGACTATCCAAGAATTCACAAACAAGGAGAAATGACTTCCAATCTGAAGTTATGTGCTGAATAGAGAACTAGATTCTAACCCGTGGAAATAAGTTCATTTTCATATATTTAGTTTGATAGTTAAGACGAGAAGCTTCGATTTTTTCAGGTTTTTTTTTCATTAAACGATTATTTTTTTCATTATACTGAAGATATCTATATTTATTAGTTTGTTATTTTTTTTCGCTTAAGCTTCTTGATTTCAGTCTGAATTCTGTTGATTATACTTAAAATTCTTGTTGGAGTGTTTGACGGCATAAAAAATTTCACATGGCCTGTAAATAACGCAGAAAAAAGCTATTTATCTCAAACTCTCTTCAAAATTTTCTATGCTGTTTAAAAATATTCCAATAAGGGTTTTTGTGCCGATTATAAACACTATTTCTACATTGGACAGATTTTCTGCTTTAGATCCCATTTTCTAGAGCGAATCTTTTTTTCCCGTTTCCGCTCATCTGAAGCGTTCAAAGAACATGTTTTCTCCGTTTTTTCCGCGTGGATCTCTCCGTATTTGGTTTTGTGTGTGTGCAGCAGGCTCGAATTCGAAATGAAAGCGGAGAAAAAAAAGACGAGTTTCCGATGCGAGGGTGTTCCGCCCAGTTTTTGGCGCGTCGCCAGTTTTTTAAATCTTCTTCGAAGTTGGCGCCTCTTTTCGCGACTTACAGCGCCGGTTGAGTTTTCCTCTATTAGTTAGTTTTTATTAATTACATTTTCAGCGAGAATCCTCAAAAAAATACTTTAATTTAACCGAAGTTTTTTTGCTAATTTTTTTAAGAAGTTCGACCTTGTTTTTGCTACGTTCGGATGAAAGTCCTTTTTACTTGTGTTAAACAGTTTTTGCTCTTTTTTCAAAAGTTTTGGGCAATACAATCTAATTCGGTGCTTTTCGCTTATAAAAATCGAAAATTCGTTGTTTATTTTTCGGAAAGACTCAAAGACCTCTGCGGGTTTTTTTTTTTCAAACCCTGACTCCCAAGAACGAATTTGCATCGAGAAGGTCAGACTAATCCTCAAAAACCGTGAGTCTGACCATCTCTAAATGATCTTTGTTGTTATTTTACTACATTTTTTTTTCGTCTACAAATTTGTTCGGAGTGATTTTTTTTTTACTAATTTCCCTAGTTCAAAAAGATCCTTTTACCGTTCAATGGATTTTATGATTTTTTTCAAACTTTATGGGCTCAATGAAAAAAAAATTTCCCATATTTTTTTTCTCTTTTTTTGCTAGACTGTTCGAGCTCATGTAGCCATTGAAATTAAATTAAACTAGATAAATAACTATATAATTCACTTTATAAAATTTATGAAAAAAAGATAATGAAAGAGGCTTTTGAAATTGGATTCCACAAGTTACCTGTTGGAATGTCATTTTCTCTGTCTTTCAGCTAGGAGTTAAAAAAAGTTTTACTTTTCAATTTTCAGAAGTTTTAGACTCATGAACGTTTTTCGAAAAGGATTATTGTTGGAAAGCCGAATTGAGTTGGTATTTTCCCCTTGGAAGCGTTTTTTTACAGTCAACAAACTCACGTGACTTACTTCGCTTTTGATGACTTGTTTGGAAAAGTAATTGGTTAAAAATAAATAGTTCTTGCGGCCTTTTCCAAATTTTTTTGACAAAAAAAATTTTTGAACTGTTTGTAGACTGAATTTGCCTGGAAGGACTCTTTTTTGCTTGAAAGCATTATCAATTTTTTTCCGAATAAGTTCGCTTTTTTTGAAAACTCGACAGTGGATTTTGAATGGATCTGGACTGATTTTATAATTCTCGAGACCGAAGTTTTACTCAACACGAATCTCTAATTTTTTGAAAGGGATGATGGTATAAAACTAAATGATTTTTGAATAGTTTCGAGTCCTAAAGGGATTTTTTCCTTCTTGTTCTCAAAGAGGTAACCAATAAGTTGTTCAAAAAAAATAATTCGCTTTTTCTTTTGAGCTCTAAAGAAAGTTGAAATCGGACTGGATGATTTTTGACTTAACAAGACTGAAGTTGTACCCAACGTGACTCAGTCACTATTTTCGCTACTTGTTCTCGACGACCATATTTGGAGAGGGGCGAAAAGTCGGTGGGCCGCGTGATTCCGATCGTCTCCTCCCGTCGCGTAACCAGTTGCGTGCTTTTAATCTCTTTTTCGGCCAACTTTCTTTAATCCTACTTTCATTTTTCGCCTTTTTGCTTTTGCGTTTGTTTCTGGGCCGATGGTTCAGCTTCAATTTCCTCTTTCTTCCCTGAAAATCAAACAATACCGTCAACGAATTGGATAAATAATTAAAGACGGCCGCCGACGCGCCTCTCCGATTTGAATTTGGAGGTTTTGGCGCCCTCGAGGTCGTTTTTTGTCTTTGAAATTGGCATATTTTGCTCCTTTCACTGATTGGATTCATCTCAGATTTCTTTTGGATCGTTCACTCTTTGGACTTGAGAGGTCGAAAATCGTATTCTTCTCGTTCTTGTGATTCTGGAATTAGTTCCGTTTGACGCTCGTGCGCGACGTTTAGGATAATTTAAAAGGTTTTTGATGTTTCTTGTCGTTTGTTGATTCCCAGGTGTGTGAGAAAAGCTAAAGATTTGGAAGATTATCTGGAAATTCAGCGACTTCACGAACTGTCAACATTTTTTTATCCCCCAAATACGTAAATTATTAGAATGAGAAGCAGAAAACTGAGCCTTATTCCTGAAAAATGATAAAACAATGATATTTTTAGACTTTCTCTTTAATGTGGGCTCTCGAGCCGATTTCCAGAGAAATGTTTTTTTTTCTAAAAAGCTTTTTTGCTTCGAAATTCGATGTTTTTGCAATTTTTTCCCTCTTCTTCGAGAAAAACTTCGAATTTTTCTGTTTTTTTATCTCTTTTCTACTTTACAGACTTTTTGCCAAAAAGTATATCAGATAATTCACCACGCAGTTTTTAAGTTGAATAATCATTAATTTTTTTCAGATATCTGTGGGATTTCGAAAGGGCTCACTTAAAGCTTAGAATCAAGTAAAGCGGTCATAAAATTGAAAATCTTGAATCTTGCAGATATTAGAAACACGTTCAAAAATAGAAATTTGAAAAGTAAAAAACGCATTTTTAAGGATTTTGATTGAACCATTAGATTTCAATCCTTTTAACATCACAGTTGAGGATTTATTTCAAATTTTCAAGCTGTCAAAGATTTGTTTTATCTCACTTTTAAAGCTTGCGTCAACCAAATGATTATTCGAAAGTTGCGAGTTTTCAGACATATTTTTAAGCGTAACTGTATTCCAGTCGTCCTATTTTTTCGCAGCTGCCGAAACCCTGGAGAAAACTATTTGTATCGAAAAAAGTGTGTCTGCATAGCATCTGGCGAGGCGAAGTTGTGGTGCGCGGCTGTCGGTCGGTCGGTTGCTGTTCTTGGGGCTCCCGCCCTCCTTCCTCCTCTTCTTCATCTCCTTCTTCTTCTTCTTCCGCTGCTCTTTTGTCTTTCTTCTTGCGCGGTTTGACGACCTTCCGCTTCCTTTGTTGCGTCAGATTTGTTCTGCGGTGACTAAGTTTGGTTGTTTTACTGGCGGAACCGTGTTAGTATTAGCCTTGGCTGTGTTGATGCTTGAGATTTTGGTTTTTTTACTGGTGAAGTTTTACAACTTTTCAGGAGAGGTTGAGCTTGTTACTCAGTAGCACAGAAAATTCTCAGTTTTGTTATAAGTCTTGACTTTGTTTTCATACGCTGAGATTGAAACGTATTGGTTAAAAAATTTGTGATTCAGGTTTTCTGAGGTTTCTATAAGTTCTTCTAACAAGGGAATTGTTTTCGGTCTTCCGTTAAACTTTCGATGAAACTTGGCTGAAGTGTACTTCAAGACCTCTTGATTCTGAAATAAAAAAGACTTTCTCGCAATAGCTTGTTTTCGAGCTGGGAAGCTTAGAACTTCGTAAACTACTCGAAATAGTGAGAAAAAGCGTTATTTAACGCTTTTGAAGGGTCATAACTCGAAAACAAGACGCGAGAAATTTTTCTGGGATCAAGAGGTTCTAAAGTACGCTTCAGCCAAGTTTCATCAAAAGTTCAAAGGAGAACTAAAGAACTCCCTTGTAAGAGTGCCCAATGGTTTCCGTTCCGCTACCTTTTAGGGTCTTGTTTACAGCCACGTCTGCTCTGCGCCTACCTACATAATCTTTTCGTGGGTCAACTTTGTTTTTATCAAACTTCTTGTTGGAATTGGTTAGGTAGTGTTCTAGAGGTCGGTTTCATTTTTTGAAATGAATTTCAGTGGCTAAAATGCCAAAAGTATACCCAAGTTCAAACTCAGTATTTCCTCTAAAAAAGCGTACAAGTCTAAAAATGGAATTCCAAATTTGAGTTATGTATTGGGTTGATTTTCAAATTATTCACTACTCAAAACCTTTGCTAGTTCTTTCAAAAGAGCATAAGTAATTCTCATAAAGAGCCGTTCTGAAGGACTATTTCAGGTCAATCAAGTGTTCTATGCCTTTGAAAATCCCAGAGAGAATTTTTCAAATTTGAACAGTGTTTGAAATATTTTAAAAATTTTGGAACAAAAATGATTTTTTCACTTGTTCAACTTTTTCCTACTCACTAGTCAGTTTGTCAAAATCAACATTGACTTCATTTTTACCTTTTTTCTTTTTTTCCACTTCCAACTTTCATATTTTCCCTACTTTAGTCATATCTTTGTTTTTCAACTTCTCACGGACCCTAAAACCTTATCTTTTTTACTACTCGAGATGTTTTTGTTTTCACGCCTCTCAAAAACTATTAAAGAGCTCTGTTTGAATATAGTTTCCACTGGAATGAAAAGAATTTCTCCATACATTTTCCTCTCTTTTTTTGATCTGTTATATGATCAGGCAATTGAAATTGGAAACCGAAACCAATTGAGAAAGGGAAGCGGCCAAACAAACTGTTGCCGGGAGGCCCGTTTTTCAATGTATTTATAATCCTATTCCCTTTGAAGTAGTTATTCCTACGTGAATATGTTTTTCACGACTTTTTCTATTGTCAACTTCCTGTTTTTTCATTCTTATTATAGTCGAATAGGAGTGTTTCGTACCGAAATAATAACTTTTGAGATAAATTATTTGTTGAATAGAGCAATTTTTCTTATTTCAATTTTTCTCAATTTTTCTTTTGAACTCCTGCGATGAGCTCAAAGTTGAAAAAAAAATTTTCAATGTAAAATAAAGACCAAAAAGGGATTTGAATCTTATCTGCGCAATGAAATTTCAGCTTTTTAACTCTTTTTTGATTTTTTTCATTAAATCCAAGTTTGAGGCTGAAGCTAGGGGATTCAAAAAGTCACCAACTTTTTCACTTTTTGAAATTTTTTTATTGATTTTTTTCAATATTAAAGGAAAAATGCGTCACTTTCGCACAAGACCCTTTTTAGCTTTAAAAAAATCATCGAAACTGGGACTTGAGATAATCTCACATCTATATAAATGACCCCCCACCCCCGCTTTATTTATTTACCTTACAATCTGTCAAGTTATGATTTTTGTGACGGATTGTCAATCATTTTCGTTGGCGCGAGAGTTGGCCATTTATTGACACTGCTGAAATATGCCCTTTTTTTGACGCGTTTTTAATATTTTTTTGGTTTTTTTCTATAGATTTTTTTCGATTCTGTCAATTTTTTTATTATAAGATTTTTGAATATCCGAATGTCTACGGTAAAATTTTTTTGCATGGGAAGATGTTTCGAATAAAAAAATAAAGTAAATGGGCTTTTGCGGTATATTACTGTTTTTGGATGCTTTCTATTTCCGATTTTCGAAAAAGTTGATAAATAAATGTTTAAAAATTAATTAATGTTGAACTTTTTTTCAGAAGGATTTTGAACTGTTTGAAGTGATCATAGATTTACAGTATTCTTTGAAAATAAGTTCACGTGCAATTTTTTTTTTCAAAATAATAGTTTTAAATTAGTCAACGTAGCACTCACGTGGCATGTGTGGTAAACGTTCAAACTGTCATTTTATTTTCATTCCTCATATTTTTTTTTTCCTTTCATCACATTATGTCTTTTCTGTCGGATAGTCTGCTCAAAAGTACTTTCTATGGTTTTTAAAAGAGCATGTCTGAACTTATCAAAAGTCTCTAAAAAGCGAAAAGGTTTCCAGTATGATTTCAGTTCATATGAATATTTTTCTGCGCTTTCAATTCCATTAGAAAAGATTTTTTGAGCAAATCCTTTTTTCCTTTGTAGAATTAGAAAACCGATCTTTCAATTCGAAACGTATGATTTAATAAATTTTTTTAAATATTTATAACTTCAAAAAAATTCCACATTTTTAAAAATTTGTCATACTCTAAAGCGACCTAATTTGCATGGAATATGGAAGTTTTGCGCAGCTCACTGGGTTTTCCCTTTTTTTTCTGTTTTCTTAGCCTCATTTCTTCTAGTTTTTACTAGTCTTTTATTGCTTGTCCGCGAAGATCGTCATGAATTCTCAATTTCGTCTCGCTCTTCTTTTTTCGCTTTCTTTCAACTTCGTCTCAATTTTATTCGTTGAAGAATCTAAACGAACGAAATGCCCAACTGCCCACGCTGCGAGAAGCCCGTCTACTTTGGTGAGCTTATTTTTAAATAGAAAAATCGTCTGAATTAAAATAGATATCAAACGGATGAAGAAAGAGCGCCTAGTAGCTTTGCAAAAGTTTGTGGTGGTCCCTTAAGGGTTCAAATTATTCAAGAAGGGGTTTTTCGAACTGTTTCCTTATTTTCGATTTGAAACTGCCTTCAAGGACTTATTTATGAAATTTTTGAGATTTAACTGTTTGGGATCACTGTGTCCCAAGCGATTATAGTGAAAAGTTTAATACTTTGAAGGAAACTTACTAAAAAAACCTCATACGGCGTTTGAAAAAAATTCATCTGTGAACAGTTAGTCATTTCATTTCTTCAAAAATAAAATTTTCAGATTTTTTTTTGTTATTATTAGGTTTTCAGAATCTTTAGCGAATAAATAGAAAGTTCTAAATACTTAACTTCACAGCAGGACGATGTCCCTTGAGAGAATTTAATTTCTCAAATAATTATTCAATTTTTGTCAACAAAATTGATTTACAGCCGAACGAGTGACGTCAATCGGCCACGATTGGCACCGCCCGTGTCTCCGATGCGAGAACGACGCCTGCAAGAAGACGTTGGCCGCCGGAAGTCATTCTGAAGTCAGATTTTCGGCTTGTGTATACCCGTTGGATTAGTCGTCTGCGAACTTTCGCGCCTTTTCCATGGTGTAAACATATGTATAGTCAATGCTTTTCGAATTAAAAGGCGGAGATTGGCAAGATTGACGCGTTGCGTGTGCGACGCGGCTTTTGGCGGGTAGTTCGTGGTCAAATTTAATTTTAAAAAATCGTAGAGAAACATTTTTTTTTGCATTAGTTTTATAGTTTTACCGTTCAAGTAAATGTTTTCAAAACCCCAAAAAATCTATAGCTGGTTCACGGTTGGCTTGAGCTATCGAAAAAAGGGTCCTGGCACGATAAGAAAAGAGACAGTTCCTGGTTGGTGGAGAGCGCAGACAGGCCACGCCTCCTTAGCATCCAATTATGGTCCTGAACATACATGGGATAATCATGACTGGCGACAGCCATGTACCCCACCCCTTACCCCCCATTCAAAACCAAGCCCCCGCAAAATTGAAAAGCGTTTTTTTACTCCGATCACTTTTTAACTAAGAAAAAAAGTTTTATAAGATCTGACTAGCGCCGTCCAGCGCCAAAAAAATTTTTTTACGGTTTTTTTGCCAACCCTCCCCCTTTCTCGTTTTTTTGCCAAGTCCCTCCCTTCATCAGGTTCCACCGAGACTATCCCATGTATGGCCGTGAACCAGCCATAATATCATTTTTTTAACATTATTGAAAAAAAGAAAAATTTTATGAGTTGATCATTTTAGCGCGAGGGAAAGCCGTACTGCAACCGGTGCTATGGAGCCATGTTTGGCCCCCGCGGCTACGGTCACGGAGGCGTCGAATCGCACACTTTCCACCACGGCGAGACTGGAAAGGTAACTTTATCCCAATTTGAAACTTGAAGAAAAGTTCGAAGCTCTTTTTCTGATTTGTTGTCTCATGAGTTTGCTTCCTAGAACTTTTTTTGAAATCAAAATTATGTTTCCATTTTCTTGAGAGATATTAAGATTAACTTTTTAAAGGAAAATGATAAAATTCTAGTAAGCCCTTACATAAAAACAAAAATAGTTGCCTCCTAGAGAGCTTGATTCATTTTTTGTTGTTTTTTTAATCGACTTTGATATTTAAACTCAAATTAAAAATAGTTTAAAAAAAGGCTTACTCGATACCCAGAGCTATCTTGACACTAAGAATAACTGCCGAGATAAACGCGAGACACTGGCGGTACATTGACGAGCTCGCAAACATCTCGCGTTTTTTCTCGCGCCGGTCTCGCACTTCTCTCGGCGCGACCTCGCATTTTTCTCGCAATTCGAAAATTTCCGAAATGCAAGATAAATGCGAGATGGCGCCGAGAAAAATGCGAGGTCGCGCCGAGAGAAATGCGGGATCGCGCCTAGAAAAAAGCGAGATGTTTGCGAGTTCGTCAATGTACCGCCACCGACCTCGCGTTTATCTCGTCAGTTATTCTTAGTGGAGCGGTGGAAAACTAGAATTTTCGTTGCAAGATTGCCAAATTTGCACCCTGAGGATATAATAACAGAGAACTTGCATTAAAGAACCAAATTTCGCAGCTTTTTGCTGATTCACGGAAAATTACGAAACTCAGAAAATGACATAAAATATCTGCCCAAAGGATAGTGAGATACCGGCTCAACCATTAGGCGGTGTAAATTTTGAAAATTCATCCATTTCAATATTTTCGCCCGAAATTATGAATTCTCTACAGCACGGTCATAGAAAGTTACAAAAGCAAAAAAAAGCAGAGTGTCTATGAGATGAAAGAGGGCACAGACAGTTCAGACAACCTTGCAAAAATAAACGTTAATTTTTAAATTTTTCGAACTTTTACCAAATTTCTTCAAACATTATCAGTTTTTAAACTTTCAAGTCTATGCTGATCCACCTTCGTTTCAAGATCACATACAATCAAAGAAAAACCCTTTCTGTTAATCGCATGGATTTGTTTTCTCGCACCTTTGAGATTGTAAATGTTGCAGGTTTAAGCGTCACGACATCCTCTCCGACCGGAAGAACGTCCCGAATCGCCACATTGTCGCCTATCAACCTTGAAACTTTATTCCTTTATTTTCGTCCCTCTGCATTCGTTGATTTCATTCCTTCTTTATTTCTATGTAACTCGGACTTTTTTCATCAGAAAAAGTGTATATTTTATCTTTGAACTCAATTTGTTCTATTCGTCGTCCGTTTTTCTTCTCCTATTTGTCGATACTTGACTTAATAAACAGTTTCTTCATCATTTTTATGAGTTGGATAATGTTGTGAAATCATTTTCGTATAGCGAGATTCAAAAAGAAAAAGGAAGTCTGGGTTTTCTGACGTGGGAAACTCTTTTTTGGGCTGTTATTAGTTGTTTTGTTTACGTCTCGCCATGTTTCAACTGCCTTTTAAGGCTCCCTTCATCACCATTTATTAGTTTTCGGCAGCTTTTTCCCGCGCGGGAGGTGTTATCTTGTTTTTGAGCACTTTGAAAGACCATTTTGAGTTTCTCCGTTATTCAGAAGTCTAATATATAAGTTTAAACCACCTTCAAGGACATATTCTTTCCTAAAACTTTAACAATCTTCCAGCGCAAAAACTGAAGATTATCTTATCTAAATTTAGTTCCTTCGGGAATTTCTTGCAGAGCTTCATGTACTATTGTTTTGGACACAAATAGTGCTGTTTTATGGGCTCCCGCCCAATTTTTCTGACCGATTTATTGCGTTTGTAAAGCATTTATCAAGAACTTATCGCTCAGAATTCTTTATTTTTCAAATTCCATACTTTGAGAGCTTTTTAAGTGTGCTCCATTAATTGATAGGTACCATTTTTGATGATTCTGTCATGATCTCTCCTTTGAAAATTCAAATTTTTGGGAAATTCCAGCTTCTGACTTGAAAATAATCTCTTCAGGACAGTTTTCAACTCTATTAATTCTATTTTTAGCAAAGAAGGATGTTTTCACGAAGTTTTAACTTCCTTAATGTTTGTTGGAAGTCCACAAAGTCTTCATTTCGAGATAAAAAATTAAAAAGGAGCTTCTCCGGAATAAAGTCTATCTTGTACTTTTTGAAACAAGTTCTGAACCTTTTTCCCACCTGTCAGGACACCTGAAACTGGATAAATTTCGCAAAGTTCATGAGTAATGGGATTTTCAGAATAAGAAATTTTTGTTTCGCGATTTTTTGTTGAATCGTGAAGATATGACTTGTTTTAACTAATAATCTTTTTTATAACTTCTAAATTTGGTCTTCCTCTATCATGATAAGAAGCTTTAGAAAGTTTGTGTTTGATCGTTTTTTATTTGTTTTCCTTCAAAAACTCAAAATCGGATGAGTCAAACTTTATCATCATACGTATGATGACGACTATAGTCCAAATCTTTTATTTATCCTGTCTGGGCTATAAAATTGTCCCGACGACAAATCTTTATTTTTTGTTTGTTTGTGTTTTCCCTGATGATTGGTTATTATTTTCCGCGCGACGTGAGAGAATCGTGGCGATTAATTGCTTTTTTTTGCAGATTTGGAAGTAAAAAATGCCCCGCATCCTTGCCCGAGACTTTATTGAAATCGAACAAAGAAGTGGGTTTCTTTTCTCGAATTTTCAATTTTTGGAATGTTTATTCGAAGGAAAAAGGTTTGAGTTTTGAGGGGAAAAATTCTCGAAAATTAATCGTAAATAAAGAAATTAAAAAACTCGTCGAGCCGCCGCGCGTTCGACAGAGCGCACTTGACGTCGCTTCTCATTTTTTTGGAAATGAACAGAAATGAACAAAAAAATATTTTTTTAAATGGCGTGTTCATTGGAGAAACGGAACATGCTTCAAAACAAAAAATCGTGTTCATTGGCACGCCAAAGTTGCTCCAAAACAGTACTAATTTTAATTTTGAAGCAATTTTTTGCGTTTCGGAACAATTTCTTTTTGTCGAACACGCCACATATTTTCTTTTTTGAATAACTTTTTGAAAATTCTTTTTTCAAAATCGTTTTTTTCAGTTCTGCATCATCCGGATGTGAGCCGTCCAGGCCGTCGTCTTTCTTCTATTCATCACGGTAAAATGTTGACTTCAGTTAAAAAGAAGGAAGGAACGAAAAAAGTTTCCGCTTTCGGTTGACTTAATTCTAGGCTGCGGGAAAGTGCGATTCTAATAAAATAAGCCTTTTTTCAAACTTTGTACTAAGAATCACTTTTTTTCGGCAAAGAGATCTTCTCTAAAAGCTTTGAGGTGAAAATTTTCTTTGCGTTATATTAACTTATATACAAATATAGTTAAAACCAAATTAATCGGATTTTTCTATAGCTTTTTTTTTCATTGTTTTGATTCTCATGATGAATCTTCTATTTTTTGTGAGCTTCTTATTTTGCCATTGAGACCTGCAGAACGGATATTTTTTTTACATGTTTTGATGATATTTCTTCTATTTCGTATCTTTATTGCACAATCTTTCGTTTTATTCGAGATATTCTCGGCGTTGAGATTGCAACTGATTCATGCGATCTACCTTTTTTATATTTTTCGCTTTGTAAAACTTCAGATGATACTGTGAGAGAGTTTTTGAAAGATGTCTCAGTTAAAAAAATATAGAAGCTTATTTTCAGATACTTTTTTTCCCAAAAGAGATTTCGCAAGTCCGCATGAGCGATTATTAATCTCACGCCTTTATGAGATTTTTTTCTCTTGATGTCTCAACAAAAAAATCTGACTCAGCGATTTCAAAATTTTTTTCTAACTTTGTAGCTTGAATTAGCTTAAATTAAAAAGTTTTGAATCATTCACGCCGCAAAGGGAAATATGTTTATTCATATTTTGAATTAAAAAAACCGAGTCTAGTAGAAGGAAAGGTTTGGAAAAAGCTGTTAATTTTATTCACCAAGAATATTTAGTTTTTTTTAGAAGTTTCACTGTGATTTCCATTGACTAGTAACCAGAATCTTCTAATCTTTTAAAAATAATTGAAAAATTTAAAAAAATTATTCTAACTGGAAGCTTCGAAATGCGCGCTTTTTTTCTTGAGAAAAAAATCAAACCTTTTGTCAATTTTTACAACGCTGAATGAATAATAATCAAATCTGAATGAGAATAAATATCGAGTATTCATAAAAATCCTGGATTAAAAAATGAATCAAAAAAATCATTCTTTACACCAGCTGCGAAAAAAATCTATCTGGGAGCGCAAACCCTAAAATGGTCGAATCAAAAAAAAATTTTTGGTCTTTGATTTTTTATATTTTATGTCTAGGAACCGAATTCTGATAATTATGCAATCATTTTTAATTTATAGTTTGTTGAAAACGAGATTATCTAACTGCAGGGAAGGAAGTCGAAGTGGACAAGCTGCCGACGCCCGTCGAAAATATGCTCTCAATGCGAAGAGGTGGGAGTTTTTAGAGGAAGAAATTTCAGAGTTAATCTAGTTTTCGAAAATTTTCATTTATTTTCAAATTTTCAAAAGTAGAATGGCCTTTTTGAGTTATTCGTGTGCGTGAATCGAGCAAAACCGAAAAAAATCCTCCAAATGTTCCTCTAAAACGAGCTTCGAGGGTTCATAGCAGATCTTATTTATTTCTTTTTCGCATCTTTTCTACTTCCTTTGATAAAAAATATGCTGAAAAGCAAAGAAAACTGAAAAGATTCCAGTTGATCCAAAAAAGATCCGCTGAGACTGAAAAAAAGGAACCCAGAAGACTTTTTCAGTGCTTTTAGGAGCTTTTAGCGGAAGCTTTAACTCCTTCTGAGGGTCCTTTTAGGAACTTTCCGGTTTCATCTAGGAAAAATGATAAACCTTCTAAATTTCGAATTTTACCGACCGAAAAAAGATATGAACAAAGCTGAAATTGGAGAGAGTTAACAAAGAGTCCCAGCCATTGTTTTCATTCCCCGCAGGCTATTATTTATCGGTCTCCGTCGTTATCTGATATCATTCCACCAAAACATGATTAGAGATTTCTCTGACTTTTTTTGTTCTTTTTCTTGTTTGTTTGGTGTCCCAGGAAGTATTAGATGATCTTTTCGGGTATAAGTTCTTCTCGATATCTTCATTTTTTAAGGTTTTCAGTGTCTTTCCAGATTGCAATTCTATCGAAATTCATTCTCATGCTTTTAGTTACCAGTTTCTTGACAAGGGAGCCAAAAAAAAAATTACGGCATTGTCTGGTCGTCCAAAAGACTGAAAACACTACCTATTATATTTTTTTAAAAAAAGTTATTTTTTTCACCTTTTTTTGTTGAATTTCGGTGCTGATATTTTTTTTCAGGAGAGAGAGAGAGTTATTAATTCAAGCTTAAAATTCACAACCTTTTTCCTAAAAAAATACATTTCAAGTTAAATTTTTGATCAAAAATCTGGTTTATTCAAAAATAAATGAATAGCCTAGTCTCAGGCCAAGAACAGCCGATTTTTTTTCTTCAAGGATAATTTAAGTCCCTCCAGTTTTTATAAGTTCGAATTCGAATTTTTACAGACTTTTTTTTCCAAATCAGCTTGCGCGATTACTCTCTTCCCATTAAAGCTTACCATTTTTTTTTAGTTGAAACCAATTTTTCTGCTCCTCAAACCTTTTAAGCTATACTTCCGGAGCTCAATTTCCCAGGCTCAAAATCTCATTTCATTCAATAGAAGCCCACCAATTTGTTGCATGATTTATTCACCCACGCCCTTTTCAACAGGCTTCTATTACCTCGCGCCGTCGGAAAAGAATTTAACCTTTTCTCGTTAGAACTACCTTTTTTGTCAGCTAATGAGTTCCCGTTGTTTTTGGTCTGAAAGGCGAAAACAGCCGTGACCGAGGCGATGTCTGATTGGGAAAATCTGCGCAAAACTTTCGAAGCCATAATTTTCCTATCTAACAAGGTGCTATTTCAGCTTCAGCCCCCATGGAGATTATCATCGGTCCTGGTGGGTTCTCTTTATTTCTTGTTTTTTCTCAGCTTCTCTACTTCTTTTTCGCTTGTCTGCATGCCGTTGAAGTCGAAAAATGGTTTTGCAATTATTTTTTGTGGTGTATATAGATAATAGATCAGGTGGAAGGTAAGACCACTATATAAAGGTCTGTTCTCACAGAACCTCACGAAGAACCTCGCCCCTGCCGACAACGACGACGAAAGTGACACCCCCCGATGGGTCCGCGTCGCCCACGACCAATCATGGCGCCTGATCTCCCAATTCTACATCCTTTTCTTAAAGAGCGAAGTAGAAATAGGGCCATTTTAAAATGAAGAAATACTGGTGGTGGTGGAACACTGGTATGCTACGACCGAAAGAGCAGGTTGTGCTTGCGACGGACGCGTCGGATTACGGTCTAGGTGCAGTGATACATGGTGAAGCAGTTTATTCGCTGGCATGGTTCCAACATGGTGAAGCAGTTTATTCGCTGGCACTACCCACGGGATCACATTATTTCCCAACTCCAGCTGTCACGCCGGGACTTATTGGACAACGATTGTGGACCGTAATCCGCGCCAACGACTGACTAACTCTTCGATCATACCATGATTCAGCAGAGATTTTTTCTACATCTTACTCTGAAGACTGAATAAATTGTAAATTGTAAATTGCAGTGATTACCAAGTACCATGATGGTACTTGGAAGTGATATCGTACGCATTTAGAACTCACCCAGATATTCAACTTTTGAGAAGTTGGGCATCATCCAGGGCATTGAAAAATGTAACCAGTATTTGTAAGAACGGAAGGAAACAAAGATCAGGCGCCATGGTTGGTCGTGAGCGACGTGGACCCATCTGGTGTGTCGCTGTCGTCGTCGTTGTCGGCAGGGGCGAGGTCCTTCGTGAGGGTCTGTCAGAACAACCCTTTATATAGCGGTTTTATCTTCCACGTGATCTATTATCTACATAAAACACATTTTTCTTTTTCTTTCTATTCGTTGTAATTTTGGTAATGTCGTTTTTTGACTGCTTAAAGTAATAAGTAGGCCTGAGTCGTGAATTAGCCGTTTTTGGAACTATTTTTAGGCTAAAAGTGATCTTTGATGAACAAAAAGCTCGCTTTGATGAGTTTCAGTATTTTATTTCAATGTCTTCTACTATTTTTCAGGCGAACTTCAAAGTTAAAGCAAATAAAGTACTTTGTAAATGTAGCACGAAAATATAGAACCGTTTTTTTTTTCTAAATCCGTGTTTTCAGACGGTAGACCGGTTTTCAACGCTCCGATGTCTCCACATTCGCCGAAATCTGTCTCCAACGATATCAAGGTTCATTTTTGCAACTTTTGAAATCATTGAAGGTCTCAAAGAGATTTTTTTTCTTTTTAACATTCATTATCTCTTTCCGCTTCAAGGAGAAGCCTTACAGGACCGAGACATTTATCAGAAGTCTGAATCCCGGGAAGCTTCGAAGGAACGGGCCCGCCGTAGAAGCTCCTCGTTGTTGGCCAAGAAGAAGGCGTCACCGAAAAGCGAAGAAAAGGACTCTTCCCAGAAGACGTCGCCCAAACGCGGCGACAAGGAGAAGCTGAAGGAGAAGAAGAAGGAGAAGGAGAACGAAAAGATCAAGGACGACAAGGCGAAGGACGAAAAAAGGAAGAAGAAGCTGAAGGGAAGGGAGCAGTCGTTGGAACTGGATGTGAGTTTTGAGAGGTTTTTCCGTTCCAAGAAATAGATTTCCGAATCAATTTTCAGTTTTAATAAATGATTTTTGCTTGAAAGCCCTGAGTTTGATTATATTTCTAACTTATCGAAGTTAACAAACAAGCTAACGGAACTTATAAGCCAAAAAAAAAAATTCTGATTTCTCTGCGCTCTCTTGCATATGTTCTGTTTTCGTGTTGACAGCGTTGAAGAAGGAAAAGAGGGCGCAGACAAGTCAGATTTTTTGAATGTGGCTAAGAATTTATGCAATTTTTCATTCCTGGATGTGTTCTTCAAAAGCCCGTTTTTCTAACTAAAAAAAATACTTCAAAAGGCTCCTCGCCTCCAGACCTTTTTGAAGTTTGACTTTGCTTCTTTAATACCCCAAAGAAGATTCATAAACAAATTGTACCAATGGTAAGCTTTTCAGTCCGATGAAATGACCAAAGTGATCGACATGGCGACTTGCGCCATTTCGCTCCCCCGAAGAAAGTCCATCGACCTCAGCGACCAGAAAAACGACGAGGAGACGTCTTCCGAGTCTGAATACCGTCTGGAACGACCTGAAGTCGTTTTCGTCAGAAATGTCGCCGTCCAGACTTCTGATGACGTCGTGGAGATGAATCCGCGTCGCGACAAGGAAAACTTTGCCAGTTTCTAGGGTCGCTCATGTTTTCAAGGTTTTTTTTTCAAATGTAAATAACTTTTCTGATGATCTCACTAACACCTTATCAATTATCACTAATATTATATTTTGAAAAAATTGCATCCCTATCTTTTATCTCTCTTTCAGACTTCCATTGGTCATCCATTTTCGCAGAATAACTTTATATCGATTATGACCTCTAAACCAATAAATATGTAAAGTCCAGACGAGCTACTACATTTTTTTTATAAGGAAATGAAAAAAAAGAAGGAAAGTTTAGATCATTTGGTATTCGTCGTGGTAGATGGTGTATCCATCGCCGTCCTTGCGCCAAATTTGAAGATAGTGTCCTTTCAAGTCCCCGGACTGTAAAATACAGATTTTATCAGAAAGTTAAGTTCAAGATGTAGCTTGAATTTTTGACCTTCTCCATTTTCCACGACTTTGTAGAGTCTAACATGTCTGCGCTATCCTTTTCTCTCATTTTCAAAGTCAGAGAAACGCGAAAAAGAGAGATCAGAGGGAGTTTGACTGTTTTCAGCAGTGTTGAATGAAGTCTGAATATAATCAAAAAAGTTTCAGTCTAGTTGTTTTGACCCGAAAAGAAAAATAAAGGCTCAGAAATGGCCTGCAAAAACAGTAGAGCTCTCATTATCCTTGAATGTTTTTCTATAAAAACTGGAAGAAGAAGCTCTTCTCGAAAACAAGAAACAAATCTAGAAGTGCTTACTTTTTCGGTTTGGAAGACAAAGTCGGTCTCGATGTGGATGAAATCTCCGACGCCTTGATACTGGCTGTTCGAGATTTGCATGGTCGTCTTTCCGCATTCGGTCATCATTTGTCGAAGACTTTCGACGATTGCTGAAATATTGAAGACCTCTCCTAGTAGTAATGTAGAAAAAAAGAAGTTTTTCTGTCTTGTATCATGCGACTAAACTCTTCCAACACTGATGAATTAAAGCTTATCGGAAAAAAACATTTTAAAAAAAGAAAGTAAATTTCTGGAGGTTTCAAACAAAGGGGGTTGACGTTTGGCCTTGAATTTCCCGCCGAAAGAGGCTGGTCCAAAATGTTCTACATTCAAAAGACAGAAAAAACTGTGAAAATGTAGTCTGTGTGCCAGGACTTGAAGTTTCACGGAACGACATGCCGGTATTCCGCTGCGTGCGTTCGCGAAGCGTCTTTCGAATCTAGGTCACGCTTTCAATTGATTGTTATTGGTCTGGGAGCACATTAAAATAGAGTACCTTAATGAAAGAAAAAAAAAATTAAAAGCGCGACCAAGGTTCGCACGGCACAACGGAATGTCGTTCGGTGAAATTCCAAGTCGTGGTACACAGGCTATACTTTTATTCAATTAATTACACAGTTTTAAGGCACAGAAAATGATAATGCTAACCTTCCTTGCCGTAGAGACAGCTCTTGCCCTGCTCGACCATCACCGACTCTTTGTGATAGAAGTTGTTCATGTAGTTGATGTCGCCCGAGTTGAGCTTCTCCACATAATCATTGACGAAAGGTTCGAGCTTCTGCTGGGCTTCTGAAAAAACTTCGATTTCGGGTTTCAACTCGATCCCCTACTGATAGGATTCAAATTGGATACCCAGATTTCAAAAAGGTTTTGAAAATATGATATCCAAGAAGAGAGGTTATTTTACTTTGCTGATAGGAATTCCCTGAAAATTGGCCAGAGCAATCCTTGATGTACCAGAAATAGACTCTGAGGGTCTCAACTTCCACAAAATTCTAGTTTCCGAAAAATGAGGGCCAAAAAATAGCCTGTTTCAACGGATTTTGAGTGTTTTCATTGACTTCCAGGTTTTCTTTCTCAAAAACTTTGTCCTGGTTGAGACATTAAAACATTTCGATGAATGTACTAAACAGAAATTTATTATTTCAGATTTCTTTTACAAAGACAACGTACCTTGGTTGGTGAGCGACATCCTGATAAGCTGAAGTTTCTGAAACAAGAATTTATTTCTATTCATTTTCTGTTCAAATTGTCAAAAGTTCGAAAATGCGGACCAGGATACTTTTTCTCGTTTGATGTTTAGGGCCACGATTAAGAAGAACTGAAGACTTCATTGATGACTGGCAAGTGCAATAAAAACAGAGAAGCTAAAAAGAATCCGAGTGAGAAAAGAATAAATTGGAGTTCTGAGAGGCGAGTGATTGCAAGACGGCAACGTGATAAGGACAGCAACTGTTCGATGCAATCCATCACGGCTTTTGCACTTTATTTTTGCCTATCGTGATTAAAAATTGAATTTGAAAAGGGAAGAGTCTTTCACAACTTGGTTTCCAAAAACAAGCATCTGAAAAAAGAAAAAGTGAAGCTTCTATATTCTGCAGAAAAAATCTGTTGACTTAGGACCTCCCGTTAAACGATTTTTTGTTGACCCAATGCTCGTTGACGCATGAATATGTCGTATCCGAGGACGACTCGAGTCCTAGAAACCTAAGAAATGAGAGAAATCCTGAAATTTCTCTGCTTTTGTACTCTTCTAGTAATTATTTGTTGACGGCTTTTGCACATGTCAACAACTTCCGGTTTTCAATGGCTACTGCATTTTTCTATTCAGTAGAAGCTTTCAACAATGAAACCAGTTTCAACTAGACTGTAGTCTGAAAAGTCACGTGTAAGCAATTGACAGAACGACCTGCGCAAAATAAATTTTTTTGAAAAGCCAGCGAACAATTATTGTTTTCTTTAACAGACGACTGCACTGAACGTAAAAGTGAATGCATTGAAAAGAACGAGACAAATTTTTTTCCACAAAAAAAACTCGAACATAATGAATGTTCTTGTTTCTATTTTATTAACCTTTTCGCAGACCTCACCATTGACAAATTGATCTTTTAACGCTGACCATTTCTTTTAACACTAGTTCAGAATAATACGTCGAAGGGAGAAAATGAAGCGAACCCAGCCCCTAAATCGTTTTGAGCATTTGAAGAGTCTCTTCTTCGACTCCGAAAAAAACTGAAGTTAAAATTTTTCCGTACTCGTTCAGCACTGACTGGCGTCCTGCGCAAAGGTGTATTCCAGGGACGAAGGACAGCTTTCGCTTACGACCACATCACGTTGAAAACACGCCATCCCGTCCGATCTGGCAAGTTAAGCAACGTTGGGAGCCGGTAGTACTTGGATCGGAGACGGCTTGGGAATTCGGCTTGCCGTAAGCTTTTTTTGCTTTTCTTTTCCATCCAAAAATATTAAATTACAAGTTTTTTTAAGGAGTCTGAAGTTTCTGAGTTGCTTTATAATTTTGAAGAGTTGGCTTGAGAAGAAATTCACTTTTATTTTTTTGTGTATTTCGAGAAGCCATGTCTGTTTGCTCTTTTACACGAACTCTTTCTATGAAACCAAAAAATAAAATTGAAAATTGAGAAATTCCGAATTTTTCCGAATTCGTTCAGCACTGACTGGCGTCCTGCGCAAAGGTGTATTCCAGGGACGAAGGACAGCATTCGCTTACGACCACATCACGTTGAAAACACGCCATCCCGTCCGATCTGGCAAGTTAAGCAACGTTGAGAGCCGGTAGTACTTGGATCGGAGACGGCTTGGGAATTCGGCTTGCCGTAAGCTTTTTGCTTTTTCTTTTCCATCCAAAAAAATATCAAATTACAAGTTTTTTTAAGGAGTCTGAAGTTTCTGAGTTGCTTTTATAATTTTGAAGAGTTGGCTTTGAGAAGAAATTCACTTTTTATTTTTTTGTGTATTTCTAGAAGCCATGTCTGTTTGCTCTTTTACACGAACTCTTTCTATGAAACCAAAAAAATAAAAATTGAAAAATTGAGAAATTCCGAATTTTTTTCCGAATTCGTTCAGCACTGACTGGCGTCCTGCGCGAGGGTGTATTCCAGGGACGAAGGACAGCATTCGCTTACGACCACATCACGTTGAAAAACACGCCATCCCGTCCGATCTGGCAAGTTAAGCAACGTTGAGAGCCGGTAGTACTTGGATCGGAGACGGCTTGGGAATTCGGCTTGCCGTAAGCTTTTTGCTATTTCTTTTTCCATCCAAAAAAATATTAAATTTTCAAGTTTTTTTAAGGAGTCTGAAGTTTCTGAGTTGCTTTATAATTTTTGAAGAGTTGGCTTGAGAAGAAATTCACTTTTTATTTTTTTTGTGTATTTCTAGAAGCCATGTCTGTTTGCTCTTTTACACGAACTCTTTCTATGAAAACCAAAAAAATAAAAATTGAAAAATTGAGAAATTCCGAATTTTTTTCCGAATTCGTTCAGCACTGACTGGCGTCCTGCGCGAGGGTGTATTCCAGGGACGAAGGACAGCATTCGCTTACGACCACATCACGTTGAAAAACACGCCATCCCGTCCGATCTGGCAAGTTAAGCAACGTTGAGAGCCGGTAGTACTTGGATCGGAGACGGCTTGGGAATTCGGCTTGCCGTAAGCTTTTTGCTATTCTTTTTCCATCCAAAAAAATATTAATTTTCAAGTTTTTAAGGAGTCTGAAGTTTCTGAGTTGCTTTATAATTTTGAAGAGTTGGCTTGAGAAGAAATTCACTTTTATTTTTTTTGTGTATTTCTAGAAGCCATGTCTGTTTGCTCTTTTTACACGAACTCTTTCTATGAAAACCAAAAAAATTGAAAATTGAGAAATTCCGAATTTTTCCGAATTCGTTCAGCACTGACTGGCGTCCTGCGCGAGGGTGTATTCCAGGGACGAAGGACAGCATTCGCTTACGACCACATCACGTTGAAAACACGCCATCCCGTCCGATCTGGCAAGTTAAGCAACGTTGAGAGCCGGTAGTACTTGGATCGGAGACGGCTTGGGAATTCGGCTTGCCGTAAGCTTTTTGCAATTCTTTTCCATCCAAAAATGTTAATTTTCAAGTTTTTAAGGAGTCTGGAGTTTCTCAGTTACTTTATAATTTTGAAGAGTTGGCTTGAGAAGAAATTTATCTTTTTATTTTTTTGTTTCTGTATTTCTGAAGACTCGCTTTTGTTTGAGCTTCTGCAACACTTTTTCAAAAAGCCAATGGGCAAAAAAAAAATTGAAAATTGAGAAATTCCGAATTTTTCCGAATTCGTTCAGCACTGACTGGCGTCCTGCGCGAGGGTGTATTCCAGGGACGAAGGACAGCATTCGCTTACGACCACATCACGTTGAAAACACGCCATCCCGTCCGATCTGGCAAGTTAAGCAACGTTGAGAGCCGGTAGTACTTGGATCGGAGACGGCTTGGGAATTCGGCTTGCCGTAAGCTTTTTGCAATTTCTTTTCCATCCAAAAAAATATTAATTTTCAAGTTTTTAAGGAGTCTGAAGTTTCTGAGTTGCTTTATAATTTTGAAGAGTTGGCTTGAGAAGAAATTCACTTTTTATTTTTTTTGTGTATTTCTAGAAGCCATGTCTGTTTGCTCTTTTACACGAACTCTTTCTATGAAAACCAAAAAAATTGAAAAATTGAGAAATTCCGAATTTTTTTCCGAATTCGTTCAGCACTGACTGGCGTCCTGCGCGAGGGTGTATTCCAGGGACGAAGGACAGCATTCGCTTACGACCACATCACGTTGAAAACACGCCATCCCGTCCGATCTGGCAAGTTAAGCAACGTTGAGAGCCGGTAGTACTTGGATCGGAGACGGCTTGGGAATTCGGCTTGCCGTAAGCTTTTTGCAATTCTTTTCCATCCAAAAAAATATTAATTTTCAAGTTTTTTTAAGGAGTCTGAAGTTTCTGAGTTGCTTTATAATTTTTGAAGAGTTGGCTTGAGAAGAAATTCACTTTTATTTTTTTTGTGTATTTCTAGAAGCCATGTCTGTTTGCTCTTTTACACGAACTCTTTCTATGAAAACCAAAAAAATTGAAAATTGAGAAATTCCGAATTTTTTTCCGAATTCGTTCAGCACTGACTGGCGTCCTGCGCGAGGGTGTATTCCAGGGACGAAGGACAGCATTCGCTTACGACCACATCACGTTGAAAAACACGCCATCCCGTCCGATCTGGCAAGTTAAGCAACGTTGAGAGCCGGTAGTACTTGGATCGGAGACGGCTTGAGAATTCGGCTTGCCGTAAGCTTTTTTTGCAATTTCTTTTCCATCCAAAAAAATATTAATTTTCAAGTTTTTTTAAGGAGTCTGAAGTTTCTGAGTTGCTTTATAATTTTGAAGAGTTGGCTTGAGAAGAAATTCACTTTTATTTTTTTGTGTATTTCTAGAAGCCATGTCTGTTTGCTCTTTTACACGAACTCTTTCTATGAAACCAAAAAAAAAAAATTGAAAATTGAGAAATTCCGAATTTTTCCGAATTCGTTCAGCACTGACTGGCGTCCTGCGCGAGGGTGTATTCCAGGGACGAAGGACAGCATTCGCTTACGACCACATCACGTTGAAAACACGCCATCCCGTCCGATCTGGCAAGTTAAGCAACGTTGAGAGCCGGTAGTACTTGGATCGGAGACGGCTTGGGAATTCGGCTTGCCGTAAGCTTTTTGCTTTTCTTTTTCCATCCAAAAAAATATCAAATTTTACAAGTTTTTTTAAGGAGTCTGAAGTTTCTGAGTTGCTTTATAATTTTGAAGAGTTGGCTTGAGAAGAAATTCACTTTTTATTTTTGTGTATTTCTAGAAGCCATGTCTGTTTGCTCTTTTACACGAACTCTTTCTATGAAAACCAAAAAAATTGAAAAATTGAGAAATTCCGAATTTTTTTCCGAATTCGTTCAGCACTGACTGGCGTCCTGCGCGAAAGGGTGTATTCCAGGGACGAAGGACAGCATTCGCTTACGACCACATCACGTTGAAAAACACGCCATCCCGTCCGATCTGGCAAGTTAAGCAACGTTGAGAGCCGGTAGTACTTGGATCGGAGACGGCTTGGGAATTCGGCTTGCCGTAAGCTTTTTTTGCAATTTCTTTTTCCATCCAAAAAAATATTAATTTTCAAGTTTTTTTAAGGAGTCTGAAGTTTCTGAGTTGCTTTATAATTTTGAAGAGTTGGCTTGAGAAGAAATTCACTTTTTATTTTTTTTGTGTATTTCTAGAAGCCATGTCTGTTTGCTCTTTTACACGAACTCTTTCTATGAAAACCAAAAATTGAAAAATTGAGAAATTCCGAATTTTTTTCCGAATTCGTTCAGCACTGACTGGCGTCCTGCGCGAGGGTGTATTCCAGGGACGAAGGACAGCATTCGCTTACGACCACATCACGTTGAAAAACACGCCATCCCGTCCGATCTGGCAAGTTAAGCAACGTTGAGAGCCGGTAGTACTTGGATCGGAGACGGCTTGGGAATTCGGCTTGCCGTAAGCTTTTTGCTTTTCTTTTCCATCCAAAAAAATATCAAATTTTCAAGTTTATTTAAGGAGTCTGAAGTTTCTGAGTTGCTTTATAATTTTGAAGAGTTGGCTTGAGAAGAAATTCACTTTTTATTTTTTTTGTGTATTTCTAGAAGCCATGTCTGTTTGCTCTTTTACACGAACTCTTTCTATGAAAACCAAAAAAATTGAAAAATTGAGAAATTCCGAATTTTTTTCCGAATTCGTTCAGCACTGACTGGCGTCCTGCGCGAGGGTGTATTCCAGGGACGAAGGACAGCATTCGCTTACGACCACATCACGTTGAAAAACACGCCATCCCGTCCGATCTGGCAAGTTAAGCAACGTTGAGAGCCGGTAGTACTTGGATCGGAGACGGCTTGGGAATTCGGCTTGCCGTAAGCTTTTTGCTTTTCTTTTCCATCCAAAAATATTAATTTTCAAGTTTTTAAGGAGTCTGAAGTTTCTGAGTTGCTTTATAATTTTGAAGAGTTGGCTTGAGAAGAAATTCACTTTTATTTTTTTGTGTATTTCTAGAAGCCATGTCTGTTTGCTCTTTTACACGAACTCTTTCTATGAAACCAAAAAATAAAATTGAAAAATTGAGAAATTCCGAATTTTTTTCCGAATTCGTTCAGCACTGACTGGCGTCCTGCGCGAGGGTGTATTCCAGGGACGAAGGACAGCATTCGCTTACGACCACATCACGTTGAAAAACACGCCATCCCGTCCGATCTGGCAAGTTAAGCAACGTTGAGAGCCGGTAGTACTTGGATCGGAGACGGCTTGGGAATTCGGCTTGCCGTAAGCTTTTTTTGCAATTCTTTTTCCATCCAAAAAAATATTAATTTTCAAGTTTTTAAGGAGTCTGAAGTTTCTGAGTTGCTTTATAATTTTGAAGAGTTGGCTTGAGAAGAAATTCACTTTTTATTTTTTTTGTGTATTTCTAGAAGCCATGTCTGTTTGCTCTTTTACACGAACTCTTTCTATAAAACCAAAAAAATTGAAAATTGAGAAATTCCGAATTTTTTTCCGAATTCGTTCAGCACTGACTGGCGTCCTGCGCGAAAGGGTGTATTCCAGGGACGAAGGACAGCATTCGCTTACGACCACATCACGTTGAAAAACACGCCATCCCGTCCGATCTGGCAAGTTAAGCAACGTTGAGAGCCGGTAGTACTTGGATCGGAGACGGCTTGGGAATTCGGCTTGCCGTAAGCTTTTTGCAATTCTTTTTCCATCCAAAAAAATGTTAATTTTCAAGTTTTTTTAAGGAGTCTGGAGTTTCTCAGTTACTTTATAATTTTTGAAGAGTTGGCTTGAGAAGAAATTCACTTTTTATTTTTTTTGTGTATTTCTAGAAGCCATGTCTGTTTGCTCTTTTACACGAACTCTTTCTATAAAACCAAAAAAATTGAAAATTGAGAAATTCCGAATTTTTCCGAATTCGTTCAGCACTGACTGGCGTCCTGCGCAAAGGTGTATTCCAGGGACGAAGGACAGCATTCGCTTACGACCACATCACGTTGAAAACACGCCATCCCGTCCGATCTGGCAAGTTAAGCAACGTTGAGAGCCGGTAGTACTTGGATCGGAGACGGCTTGGGAATTCGGCTTGCCGTAAGCTTTTTGCTTTTCTTTTCCATCCAAAAAAATATTAATTTTCAAGTTTTTTTAAGGAGTCTGAAGTTTCTGAGTTGCTTTATAATTTTGAAGAGTTGGCTTGAGAAGAAATTCACTTTTTATTTTTTTGTGTATTTCTAGAAGCCATGTCTGTTTGCTCTTTTACACGAACTCTTTCTATGAAAACCAAAAATTGAAAAATTGAGAAATTCCGAATTTTTTTCCGAATTCGTTCAGCACTGACTGGCGTCCTGCGCGAGGGTGTACTCCAGGGACGAAGGACAGCATTCGCTTACGACCACATCACGTTGAAAACACGCCATCCCGTCCGATCTGGCAAGTTAAGCAACGTTGAGAGCCGGTAGTACTTGGATCGGAGACGGCTTGGGAATTCGGCTTGCCGTAAGCTTTTTGCTTTTCTTTTCCATCCAAAAATATTAATTTTCAAGTTTTTAAGGAGTCTGAAGTTTCTGAGTTGCTTTATAATTTTGAAGAGTTGGCTTGAGAAGAAATTCACTTTTATTTTTTTGTGTATTTCTAGAAGCCATGTCTGTTTGCTCTTTTACACGAACTCTTTCTATGAAACCAAAAAAAAAAAATTGAAAATTGAGAAATTCCGAATTTTTCCGAATTCGTTCAGCACTGACTGGCGTCCTGCGCAAAGGTGTATTCCAGGGACGAAGGACAGCATTCGCTTACGACCACATCACGTTGAAAACACGCCATCCCGTCCGATCTGGCAAGTTAAGCAACGTTGAGAGCCGGTAGTACTTGGATCGGAGACGGCTTGGGAATTCGGCTTGCCGTAAGCTTTTTGCTTTTCTTTTCCATCCAAAAATATCAAATTACAAGTTATTAAGGAGTCTGAAGTTTCTGAGTTGCTTTATAATTTTTGAAGAGTTGGCTTGAGAAGAAATTCACTTTTATTTTTTTGTGTATTTCTAGAAGCCATGTCTGTTTGCTCTTTTACACGAACTCTTTCTATAAAACCAAAAAATTGAAAATTGAGAAATTCCGAATTTTTCCGAATTCGTTCAGCACTGACTGGCGTCCTGCGCAAAGGTGTATTCCAGGGACGAAGGACAGCATTCGCTTACGACCACATCACGTTGAAAAACACGCCATCCCGTCCGATCTGGCAAGTTAAGCAACGTTGAGAGCCGGTAGTACTTGGATCGGAGACGGCTTGGGAATTCGGCTTGCCGTAAGCTTTTTTTGCAATTCTTTTTCCATCCAAAAAAATATTAATTTTCAAGTTTTTTTAAGGAGTCTGAAGTTTCTGAGTTGCTTTATAATTTTTGAAGAGTTGGCTTGAGAAGAAATTCACTTTTTATTTTTTTGTGTATTTCTAGAAGCCATGTCTGTTTGCTCTTTTACACGAACTCTTTCTATGAAAACCAAAAAAATTGAAAAATTGAGAAATTCCGAATTTTTTTCCGAATTCGTTCAGCACTGACTGGCGTCCTGCGCAAAGGGTGTATTCCAGGGACGAAGGACAGCATTCGCTTACGACCACATCACGTTGAAAAACACGCCATCCCGTCCGATCTGGCAAGTTAAGCAACGTTGAGAGCCGGTAGTACTTGGATCGGAGACGGCTTGGGAATTCGGCTTGCCGTAAGCTTTTTGCTTTTCTTTTCCATCCAAAAATATTAAATTACAAGTTTTTAAGGAGTCTGAAGTTTCTGAGTTGCTTTATAATTTTGAAGAGTTGGCTTGAGAAGAAATTCACTTTTATTTTTTTGTGTATTTCTAGAAGCCATGTCTGTTTGCTCTTTTACACGAACTCTTTCTATAAAACCAAAAAATTGAAAATTGAGAAATTCCGAATTTTTCCGAATTCATTCAGCACTGACTGGCGTCCTGCGCGAGGGTGTACTCCAGGGACGAAGGACAGCATTCGCTTACGACCACATCACGTTGAAAACACGCCATCCCGTCCGATCTGGCAAGTTAAGCAACGTTGAGAGCCGGTAGTACTTGGATCGGAGACGGCTTGGGAATTCGGCTTGCCGTAAGCTTTTTTTGCTTTTTCTTTTCCATCCAAAAAAATATTAATTTTCAAGTTTTTAAGGAGTCTGAAGTTTCTGAGTTGCTTTTATAATTTTGAAGAGTTGGCTTGAGAAGAAATTCACTTTTTATTTTTTTGTGTATTTCTAGAAGCCATGTCTGTTTGCTCTTTTTACACGAACTCTTTCTATGAAACCAAAAAATTGAAAATTGAGAAATTCCGAATTTTTTTCCGAATTCGTTCAGCACTGACTGGCGTCCTGCGCAAAGGGTGTATTCCAGGGACGAAGGACAGCATTCGCTTACGACCACATCACGTTGAAAAACACGCCATCCCGTCCGATCTGGCAAGTTAAGCAACGTTGAGAGCCGGTAGTACTTGGATCGGAGACGGCTTGGGAATTCGGCTTGCCGTAAGCTTTTTTTGCTTTTTCTTTTTCCATCCAAAAAAATATCAAATTACAAGTTATTGAGGAGTCTGAAGTTTCTGAGTTGCTTTATAATTTTGAAGAGTTGGCTTGAGAAGAAATTCACTTTTATTTTTTTTGTGTATTTCTAGAAGCCATGTCTGTTTGCTCTTTTACACGAACTCTTTCTATAAAAACCAAAAAAATTGAAAATTGAGAAATTCCGAATTTTTTTCCGAATTCATTCAGCACTGACTGGCGTCCTGCGCGAGGGTGTACTCCAGGGACGAAGGACAGCATTCGCTTACGACCACATCACGTTGAAAAACACGCCATCCCGTCCGATCTGGCAAGTTAAGCAACGTTGAGAGCCGGTAGTACTTGGATCGGAGACGGCTTGGGAATTCGGCTTGCCGTAAGCTTTTTTTGCTTTTCTTTTCCATCCAAAAAAATATTAATTTTCAAGTTTTTAAGGAGTCTGAAGTTTCTGAGTTGCTTTATAATTTTGAAGAGTTGGCTTGAGAAGAAATTCACTTTTTATTTTTTTGTGTATTTCTAGAAGCCATGTCTGTTTGCTCTTTTACACGAACTCTTTCTATGAAAACCAAAAAAATTGAAAAATTGAGAAATTCCGAATTTTTTTCCGAATTCGTTCAGCACTGACTGGCGTCCTGCGCAAAGGTGTATTCCAGGGACGAAGGACAGCATTCGCTTACGACCACATCACGTTGAAAACACGCCATCCCGTCCGATCTGGCAAGTTAAGCAACGTTGAGAGCCGGTAGTACTTGGATCGGAGACGGCTTGGGAATTCGGCTTGCCGTAAGCTTTTTGCTTTTCTTTTCCATCCAAAAATATCAAATTACAAGTTATTAAGGAGTCTGAAGTTTCTGAGTTGCTTTATAATTTTGAAGAGTTGGCTTGAGAAGAAATTCACTTTTATTTTTTTGTGTATTTCTAGAAGCCATGTCTGTTTGCTCTTTTACACGAACTCTTTCTATAAAACCAAAAAATTGAAAATTGAGAAATTCCGAATTTTTCCGAATTCATTCAGCACTGACTGGCGTCCTGCGCGAGGGTGTACTCCAGGGACGAAGGACAGCATTCGCTTACGACCACATCACGTTGAAAACACGCCATCCCGTCCGATCTGGCAAGTTAAGCAACGTTGAGAGCCGGTAGTACTTGGATCGGAGACGGCTTGGGAATTCGGCTTGCCGTAAGCTTTTTGCAATTCTTTTTCCATCCAAAAAAATATTAATTTTCAAGTTTTTAAGGAGTCTGAAGTTTCTGAGTTGCTTTTATAATTTTTGAAGAGTTGGCTTGAGAAGAAATTCACTTTTTATTTTTTTTGTGTATTTCTAGAAGCCATGTCTGTTTGCTCTTTTACACGAACTCTTTCTATGAAAACCAAAAAAATTGAAAATTGAGAAATTCCGAATTTTTTTCCGAATTCGTTCAGCACTGACTGGCGTCCTGCGCGAGGGTGTATTCCAGGGACGAAGGACAGCATTCGCTTACGACCACATCACGTTGAAAAACACGCCATCCCGTCCGATCTGGCAAGTTAAGCAACGTTGAGAGCCGGTAGTACTTGGATCGGAGACGGCTTGGGAATTCGGCTTGCCGTAAGCTTTTTTTGCAATTCTTTTCCATCCAAAAAAATATTAATTTTCAAGTTTTTTTAAGGAGTCTGAAGTTTCTGAGTTGCTTTATAATTTTGAAGAGTTGGCTTGAGAAGAAATTCACTTTTTATTTTTTTTGTGTATTTCTAGAAGCCATGTCTGTTTTGCTCTTTTACACGAACTCTTTCTATAAAACCAAAAAATTGAAAATTGAGAAATTCCGAATTTTTCCGAATTCGTTCAGCACTGACTGGCGTCCTGCGCGAGGGTGTATTCCAGGGACGAAGGACAGCATTCGCTTACGACCACATCACGTTGAAAACACGCCATCCCGTCCGATCTGGCAAGTTAAGCAACGTTGAGAGCCGGTAGTACTTGGATCGGAGACGGCTTGGGAATTCGGCTTGCCGTAAGCTTTTTGCAATTCTTTTCCATCCAAAAATATTAATTTTCAAGTTTTTAAGGAGTCTGAAGTTTCTGAGTTGCTTTATAATTTTGAAGAGTTGGCTTGAGAAGAAATTCACTTTTATTTTTTTGTGTATTTCTAGAAGCCATGTCTGTTTGCTCTTTTACACGAACTCTTTCTATGAAAACCAAAAAAATTGAAAATTGAGAAATTCCGAATTTTTTTCCGAATTCGTTCAGCACTGACTGGCGTCCTGCGCGAGGGTGTATTCCAGGGACGAAGGACAGCATTCGCTTACGACCACATCACGTTGAAAACACGCCATCCCGTCCGATCTGGCAAGTTAAGCAACGTTGAGAGCCGGTAGTACTTGGATCGGAGACGGCTTGGGAATTCGGCTTGCCGTAAGCTTTTTGCTTTTCTTTTCCATCCAAAAATATCAAATTACAAGTTTTTAAGGAGTCTGAAGTTTCTGAGTTGCTTTATAATTTTGAAGAGTTGGCTTGAGAAGAAATTTATCTTTTTATTTTTTTGTTTCTGTATTTCTGAAGACTCGCTTTTGTTTGAGCTTCTGCAACACTTTTTCAAAAAGCCAATGGGCAAAAAAAAAATTGAAAATTGAGAAATTCCGAATTTTTCCGAATTCGTTCAGCACTGACTGGCGTCCTGCGCGAGGGTGTATTCCAGGGACGAAGGACAGCATTCGCTTACGACCACATCACGTTGAAAACACGCCATCCCGTCCGATCTGGCAAGTTAAGCAACGTTGAGAGCCGGTAGTACTTGGATCGGAGACGGCTTGGGAATTCGGCTTGCCGTAAGCTTTTTGCAATTCTTTTCCATCCAAAAATGTTAATTTTCAAGTTTTTAAGGAGTCTGGAGTTTCTCAGTTACTTTATAATTTTGAAGAGTTAGCTTGAGAAGAAATTCACTTTTATTTTTTTGTGTATTTCTAGAAGCCATGTCTGTTTGCTCTTTTACACGAACTCTTTCTATAAAACCAAAAAATTGAAAATTGAGAAATTCCGAATTTTTCCGAATTCGTTCAGCACTGACTGGCGTCCTGCGCGAGGGTGTATTCCAGGGACGAAGGACAGCATTCGCTTACGACCACATCACGTTGAAAACACGCCATCCCGTCCGATCTGGCAAGTTAAGCAACGTTGAGAGCCGGTAGTACTTGGATCGGAGACGGCTTGGGAATTCGGCTTGCCGTAAGCTTTTTTTGCAATTCTTTTCCATCCAAAAATGTTAATTTTCAAGTTTTTAAGGAGTCTGGAGTTTCTCAGTTACTTTATAATTTTGAAGAGTTGGCTTGAGAAGAAATTTATCTTTTTATTTTTTTGTTTCTGTATTTCTGAAGACTCGCTTTTGTTTGAGCTTCTGCAACACTTTTTCAAAAAGCCAATGGGCAAAAAAAAAATTGAAAATTGAGAAATTCCGAATTTTTCCGAATTCGTTCAGCACTGACTGGCGTCCTGCGCGAGGGTGTATTCCAGGGACGAAGGACAGCATTCGCTTACGACCACATCACGTTGAAAAACACGCCATCCCGTCCGATCTGGCAAGTTAAGCAACGTTGAGAGCCGGTAGTACTTGGATCGGAGACGGCTTGGGAATTCGGCTTGCCGTAAGCTTTTTGCAATTCTTTTTCCATCCAAAAAAATATTAATTTTCAAGTTTTTTTAAGGAGTCTGAAGTTTCTGAGTTGCTTTATAATTTTGAAGAGTTGGCTTGAGAAGAAATTCACTTTTATTTTTTTTGTGTATTTCTAGAAGCCATGTCTGTTTGCTCTTTTACACGAACTCTTTCTATGAAAACCAAAAAAATTGAAAAATTGAGAAATTCCGAATTTTTCCGAATTCGTTCAGCACTGACTGGCGTCCTGCGCGAGGGTGTATTCAGGGACGAAGGACAGCATTCGCTTACGACCACATCACGTTGAAAAACACGCCATCCCGTCCGATCTGGCAAGTTAAGCAACGTTGAGAGCCGGTAGTACTTGGATCGGAGACGGCTTGGGAATTCGGCTTGCCGTAAGCTTTTTGCAATTCTTTTCCATCCAAAAAAATATTAATTTTCAAGTTTTTTTAAGGAGTCTGAAGTTTCTGAGTTGCTTTATAATTTTTGAAGAGTTGGCTTGAGAAGAAATTTCATCTTTTTATTTTTTTGTTTCTGTATTTCTGAAGACATCGCTTTCTGTTTGAGCTTCTGCAACGAACTCTTTTCATAAAAGCCAATGGGAAAAAAATTGAAAATTGAGAAATTCCGAATTTTTTTCCGAATTCGTTCAGCACTGACTGGCGTCCTGCGCGAGGGTGTATTCCAGGGACGAAGGACAGCATTCGCTTACGACCACATCACGTTGAAAAACACGCCATCCCGTCCGATCTGGCAAGTTAAGCAACGTTGAGAGCCGGTAGTACTTGGATCGGAGACGGCTTGGGAATTCGGCTTGCCGTAAGCTTTTTGCAATTCTTTTCCATCCAAAAATATTAATTTTCAAGTTTTTAAGGAGTCTGAAGTTTCTGAGTTGCTTTATAATTTTGAAGAGTTGGCTTGAGAAGAAATTCACTTTTATTTTTTTGTGTATTTCGAGAAGCCATGTCTGTTTGCTCTTTTACACGAACTCTTTCTATGAAACCAAAAAATAAAATTGAAAATTGAGAAATTCCGAATTTTTCCGAATTCGTTCAGCACTGACTGGCGTCCTGCGCGAGGGTGTATTCCAGGGACGAAGGACAGCATTCGCTTACGACCACATCACGTTGAAAACACGCCATCCCGTCCGATCTGGCAAGTTAAGCAACGTTGAGAGCCGGTAGTACTTGGATCGGAGACGGCTTGGGAATTCGGCTTGCCGTAAGCTTTTTGCAATTCTTTTCCATCCAAAAATATTAATTTTCAAGTTTTTAAGGAGACTGAAGTTTCTGAATAATGTTGAAAAATGAAGGCGAAGGGTTATATTCTTCATGACTTTTTTTTTCCAGGGACTTTTCGTTTGGTAATTTGAAATTTTCAAAATCACTGTCTCATTTTTTTTCTCAATATTTTTAATTAAAAATGGTCTTCCCACTTTCTCTTCTTGCAATCTGCGGTAGTTTTCTTTTTTGCTTTCACCATTATTTATTGTGATACCTTCTGCACCTTGAAAAAAAGACGAGTAAAATTTAACAATTTTTATTCCTTTTCTTATTTTTTCTTTCAATATTATCACAATTTATAGCACAAACATGTTAATTATTGTGACATTCAGAGAAAAATAGATTTGATTCTCAAGCGAAGTTTGGGAGTACCCGTGGTGTTTCAAATTGAGCAACAATGAGAAGAAGAAGAAGTAGAGAGAGAGGAAAAAACGTTGGGACTTGATTAGTGTGAGCAATATTTTTCGTTCAGGGTTTGGCAACTTTCTGGGATCCAAGATGAGATTGCAACTAGTTGAACGAAACCGGGCCAGAAACTAAGTTTCTTTTGGAGAAAATCCTCTGTTGACTTGTTGAAAATTGTACAATAACAAACAAAAAAAGAGGTTAAATACGAGAGAATTACTATGAAACTACAATCTCTGAGGTGTAAGGCAAAAGAGAAAAAAAGGCAAGAGAAGGAAAGAAACATGAGTACTATATTGTAACTGAAAGCGATTAAATGGCACAATCACCCGGCGAGATAAAGAAAAAAAGGCACATTGTTCAGCAATTCAACGTTTTCTATGAAAAACCAGTACGGTAAAAGTGGGTATAACAGTCATGATGGGTGAAGATTCGCCCTAGATCACATCTAACAAAATCAACTGACTAGAAAAAGAAAAGAAATTATCGCTAATATACAAATAATTAAGACAGGAATGTGCTTTCTCTTGACTAAGGTCTTGCTCTCAAAGTGTTTCAAATCGTCTTCTTTTTTAGAAAATGGGCTCTTTCACGTTTTGAATGAAAAAAGTCGCACATTCCTGGTCAGAGGTTAGTAGAGAAGTATGGCTACAGGCCGGGAAAGGACTTGAGGAAAAATAATTAATCAGAGAAGTTGTCGGCTTAAAGAGTGGCGCGATAGAAGACCGGGCCGGCGTTTTCGTCGTCGGACTCGACGGTGGCTCTGCCCCAGCGACGGAATCGGCGCGGCGACTGTCGCTGCGGGAGAGGCGGCAGGGTAGAACCGTCGCCGGCCGACCGACGGTAGCCTCCGGGGTACGAAGCCGCGAATATGGGCGTCGCGGTGGTCGGCGACAATTTCGAGCATGGGACCGGGTCTTCGATCACGTCGACGACGTAATTCGCGCCGTCGTTGTTGTCCCAGAACTGCTCGCCGCTCACAGCGTATTGGACGCAGAACTCGCATCGGCCAGCCTGGAAAAGTAGAGGTGTGAAAAAGTCCGTAAATTTGGAAAACACTGAATCTGATGTTTAAAAACTCTGACGTCGAATAGCAAAGTCTGACTAGTGTTTTAGATACCAGAATAATTTACCGAATTTTGGAGCAACTTTTCAAGCAAAAGATTAGTCGGGATAGGCATGAAATTCTACCGAACCTACAGCACCTTCAAAATTTTTCCAAATCTAGCGTAACAGAAAGTTTTCAATTCTACAGTACTCCATGTTTTTGACGTATACAACAACTTTTACACATTTCTTTTCCTCCAACGAACCTTGAGCTTATTTGGCAGGACGATGGAGAAGTTGAAGGCGTCAATGTCTTCAGTGCCGAACATTCTGTGGCTGAAGCCGGCAACGACTTCTTCTTGGGTCTCCCATTTGTTCGTCGTGTATCGGATCGTCACCTGAATCCCTTCAAATGAGTTCAGCTCTAGCGCAAGCTTCTTTACCGTCTTGTCGAAAGCGACGTTGAGCAGGTTGACCTGACCGACCACAGTACTGCCGGAGGCACGGAGGGCGACGACGCAGACACGCGCCAGCCTCGTTTTGTCGTTGTATTCGTGCTCGGAACGGTAGTTGAAGTTGGAGAGAACCAGTCGACAGGCGGAAGAAGCCGAGGAGATCAACTGCGAGGAGCCTTCTCCGAGGAACGACGGCGGCAGTTCCAAAGGAGCGATCGTTCGAGCGGCGAAGCTTCTGTAGACGTCACGTCAACTTTGAAGTCTTCCTCGGTAACTTACAAGGCTGGATTCTCTTCCTTTACAAAATACTGCAACTTCTCGAGATCCAAGCCAAGGGTGTCGGCGAAACGGACGCGTTTTTCAGATTGCTTCGACCTCGACCGACGGAGCGCCGATGGCAGAGTCTTGGCTCGTTCTCTGCAATGAAAACGGTTAGAATTTCTTTTCTTGCACCAATGAGACAACTACAGTATCATTTTTCGGACTGATACCCTATCAGTCGCAACTCAACAATCACAATGGCCGTCGTTAAAGTCACCATGGCAGAATTTGGCAAAAGCGGGGTCGTTGCTACTGATAGAATGCGTGTTTGTGTGGGGAAATGATTGATAATAAGTGACGAAAGATCGACGAGTGCAAGGCAGAAGGAGCTTGTTTGCCAGCACATGGGCGACACGTGCGACCGGCGTGGGATACCGTTGCAAAAAAAGATATTGAGAAGAAAACTGGGTTCAGGAAGTGTGTTGGAGCGGAACTGAGTTTTCAAAAGTGAAATCGATTTTTTTCAAAAAGGCTTACTATTCAAAGATTTGATCAGTTCTAGCTTTTTAATGCTTTTAGGTCTGCTTCATAGCTGAAACTTCAAGGGAAAAAAGCGGAAAGTTCAGAAAATAGTAGGAAGTGCAGGAATAAATTGAGAGTTCTAATAGGTGTGAAGAAAAGAATGGGAGTACCTAATGAGAAATCTCCCAGTCAAAATAGGACTGCGAATATTTAGAACCCATGAATGAGAAGATTGAAAGGCAATCAATAAATCGGACAGATCCTATAGTCAAATCAGTAAAACCAGAGGAAACTTCAGAAAGAAGACTTCAGACCGCATCCTCAACGAACCTTCTCTTCAGTGGCAAATACTCCGACTCATTATTATTCTCGTCGCCGAACTTGTGGCAGCAGACTTGGCAGTCGACAGCGAGGTTAATCTTGGGATGAAGCGTCGCCGACGGCATTCCCAGCGAGGCGCAGATCGGCGAAACTAGCGAAACCACCAGGAGGAGAAGGAGGCGGAGAGGACGGCCGAAAGGGGGCGGAGTCGCCTAGGGTTGTGTCAACCAATGATCGTCCCTCTTGCACCCGTCGAGAACCAACACGTGGCCTCCGCTGACCGTTTATTGAAAATCTCGCAATGAAATCAACACTCCCATCCGTCTCTAACATAATGTTTACTTGGGACAAATTCGAGGAAAACAGTTGTTTCGGTGCAAAAGATGGATGGTCAGCCGATCGTCGATTTCCAATCTTGAATCTTCTAGCACGATCATAAACAATGAAGCCAAACTACCAATAAGCGATTCTATCTAGTTTGGAAAAGTCCATGATCGCACGTGGCTTCTCAGTTCGCCCGACCCGAAACGACTTGCGCCCGAGGGAATCTCGAAAGTATTAAAGAAACGGCTGAATATTAAGTGAACAATTTTTGAAAATGTCTTCGTTCATGTTGTTTTCCTCGTTGGTTTGATCCTTCCCGATTCTCAATTATTTTTCTTGAAGAAACCAAAAAATAAAGCTCATTCCCAAATCTTCCTTCCAATATTTAGTCTTAACTTTTCTCCAAAATCTCATCATAATGATGCAATATTGCGCTTTTTAGAAGAAAATGTCGTTAAACCCAGAAAAATTTAATCAAAAAAGATTTTGCAGAAAAAAAATCATCCAACCATTCATTTTTCATTCTGTTTTTTTGACATTTCGACTCCACTCTGCTTTACACAAGGCAACAGCCGCTCTCGGCCCGATTTTCAATGCTCGCAAGGGTTCAAAAAAGCGCTCAGATTTCCAGGTTCAAGGCGATCCCGGAAGAAAGAGGCCGCAAACCTAATAAGTTCTAAAAACCGTTCTTTCTGGCTTTTGCGAGTTATTAGGGAGTTTGAAAGTAGTTTGAACTGAAAAAAAATTTGAAAAAAAGATCGGAAATGTTTCGAAAAAGACAGCGCGACAAATAAGGTTAGGCTCTAAAAGGAGACGCGTCTGAAAATGTCTTTTTGGTCACAAAATTTAAGAAAAACGTTTCGGCTTTTCAATAAACTTCAACTAGTTTTTTCATGTTCTTAATTTTTATAGATTCAGCTAGAAAGTTATTTTAGTATCAGCTTAAAAACAGAACGAAAAATTTTTAGAAAAAAAGAAGCTTCTAGCAAACAAAGTTAAGCTCTTCCGGCAAAAACTTTAAAAAAAAACTTCCGGCAATTTTAATAACCTTATCATTAGCTCTAAAGTTTTTCTAACAAACAACTTCGCATCGAAATGGCCCCAAACGTCATCTAATCAACAAAAAAATATAGTTTCAAACTTTTTCTAGTTTTTTTAATTTTTCTGTTCGTCAACTTCTGATACAGATGCAAATGAAGGTTAAGCCTTTTTGTCCAGTTTTTTTTTCTCTCTAGAACTTTTCAATTATTCAATAATTCGTTCAACATTCTATCAGCTTCTCTAGCAAAGTCTCAATAAACAACTTGTCGCCCAAACTGCCTCAAACTTCATCTAAACAACTAAAGTCTGCACTTTCGGCAGCTCGTTATCAAGCTTCTTTGCGGGCAAAAGCACCGAAGATTGAACCGATACGTCTTCACAGCCGCCGAATCACCCTGTTTGTGTCAGTCGGTCGGTCGAGGAGAAGAAAGAAGACGAAAAAGAAAAAAGAGTACATGAAATATCAACAACTCGGTGCCTGCAACCAGTGATCGCCCGGTGCAAGGCGTACCGAGCCGCCGTGTTTTTTTTCTTCAATTTTTCTTTTTGCTGCCACCCTTGAGAAGAGAAAAGAGCGAGAGAAACATCATCCGTTCTATCAATAGTGTAGGCCGACCTTTTTTTTTCTTCTTTTCCGCGTTTCAACTTGAAGCAGCTGCCGTTTCAAGAGGTAAATGGGGGTTGGAAAAAGGAGTGCACTTTGGAGTGAGCAACTTTGAAGGTTGAACCTACAAGAAACTGCACAAAGATTGGGAAATCTTCACTTCGACCTTTCAAAACGAAAAATTCTGAGCTGTAGATTTTCTGAGACGGTTAAAACTACAGTGTATAGAGGGGTGATCGTTTTTACTCAAAACGATAAGGTTCGAAAAACTCCAAAAAAAAGTGATTATTTTCAAAATTATTCCATGCTAAAAAAAAAGGTCAGGAGCTCAAAAAGGGATGGTATCTACAAGTTAACTTATAAATGTATTCTCCCGATTTTCCAAAGTTCCGTCACTTCCGATGAAACTATAATCAATCTTCCATGGTGCCCACAGTAATCTTTACCCAAAAAAGTCATTCTCAGGAACGAAAGAGCGCGATAAATCTTCTAAAAACGGCCGCTCTCCATGTCAACTTTAATTCGATCAATCAGCGATAAACTTTTAGGATCGGCCCGACGCCGCAAATAGTGCGGCAAAACCGTTTCTTTTTTCTGCACCATCATCGAAACGGCCGATTCTGCATTCGAAAGAAGACGTCGGTCGTCCTGACGAATTCTGATGCAATATCTCTTGACAAAACATGGAGAAATCTCGTTAACCTTATCTGGGCGTTCCATGCGTCACACTGTTCGAAGAATTATCATATATGGTAGAGTGTGAAGTCATGCCGTAAATGTCACAGTAAGAGACAGATAAAGGTAGTTTTTTCGAAAGATTCCGGAATTATTACTGTCAATGTTCAAAAACCAAGGAAATCACCGTTTTCAAAAATGTATGTTCCTTGCAATCTAAAAAAATTCGCAAAAAATCCGAAGAAAAGGCGAAAAATGTGAAAGAAGAACTAGGAGAAAAACTATAAAAAGAGTTTTTTTTTAATATTGTTTTTCTCCGGAATCTCAAAAAAAAACGTGGATAGTTTGAAATATTCAATTAGGTAACAGAAAAAAAGGTTGGTACTTTTTGTGAAGCTTAACTAAATTAGTAATTATTTTGATTGAAATCTAAAAAGGCAAAACTTTTGGATTGGAAGTTGAAAAGTCTAGGTTTCTCTGTTTTTCCTCTTACAATTATTATTATTTTAGTCGTTCTCGACCTCAAAACTCAAAAAACGAGCACTTCAAAGCTTAAAAACATACAAAGAAGCCTCACAAAAAGGCAAAATCCGGCTAATCCCTCAAATCCCATTAGCATATGTCGAGTTCGAAACCATGGCGTTATCTATCAAAATGTAGGCGCCATCCACCGCCGTCCCCGTGCAAAACAACGCACCTTTTGCGCCCCAACGCACCAGAAATCAGCCGTCGTCTCCGCAGCCGGCAGCACTATCTGATCAACTGTCTTATCATCTGCGTCTCAGGCCATCTCTTTCAGGGATCGTCGGTCGCTGGGGTGTTCTTGTTCTGTTGATCTTTGCCAGTTTCCCGTGTACCCAACAGCGGTGAAACGGTGAAAATCGTATGACTTTCAAAAAAGAGGTGCAACGCTTGCAAATCTCAGTTGAGTGCAAATTGTGAAAGGGAAGCCATTTTCTGGCAAATAATGGTTCTGATTTCACCACTCAGCAGGGTTTCATGTGAATGGAGGAGTTGAAATCAAAGAAATGTAATTTTGAAGCATGAGAATTACCCAGGAATGTCCATTTACAAGTTTTAAAGCCTATTTTATAGGTAAATTTTTCGAACAGCTTTTGGAAAAGCTTAGTTATCAATAGAGCGCACAAAAACTTTCCATTAAAGCCTTTCACATTTCAAGAAAAAAGTAATGATGCGATCAACTGGAAAATAAAGCTTCAAACTCTAGTTTGGTCAAAAGAGTTCAGTACTTCTCAAAAAAAGTCTCAAAGACTAGGGCTAGAAAAATCTTCCCACTAATCTTCTACATCTACAATCATAGGACATGTTTTTCTGAATGGAACTAATTTTTCTCAATTTTTCTGTTGAATACTCAGCATCCCCTAAAATCTCAGTCTCCCAACTTTTTCCAAAACTTCTCGAAAAACCAGCAAAAAGGAGCATTTTTCAAGTTGCAACCACGCCACTGAAGAGCCCTGCCATTTGCTCAATGACTGTTTTCGACGAAGAAAAATGACAAAATCTCCCAGATTTCCGTATGAAACACACGTGAACCGCCTGTTTTCCACGCCACCTTTTGCACCAAACTTTCGGCGGCTTCTCTGGGTCTCGCTGAGAAGATAGCACCTCCTACCGTAAGATTTTTGATGAAGAAACGTCAGGGTGATGACATGTCGATCAGGGGAGAAAGTGTGAAGGAATTAAAGGTGAGGCAATAAAATAATAAACAAATGTAGGTGGCAATGTTGTCAGTTACTGGATAGAAAAAAAACTACCAAGGCTTTGAAAAGTTTTGGATTTTAAGATTGATATCGTCGGCCATCCTCAGGCCATAAAGAGAGAAGAAAACAAGGTAACTATTTCCTAGGTAAGTTTTCAAGAAGAAAAGTTAAAACCCACATTCGACAGCGGGTCTTCAAAGGCTCCAGACTTCCGTCATCTGAGGAGAATCCAGAATCCGGTGAGCATGGCTCGGAGCACGACTGCATCTAAAAAATGGAGGGGAAAAAATGAACGACACTCTATCCGAGAAGGCAAACACTTTGCAACGTTTTACACTCGTTTTTTATTGACGCTGTTACTGCGAAAAGTAGATTCCCGTTCTCCTATCTCTTGTTCAGGAGATGGCTCAGGGAGTACTGTATCTGGGAGCACTAGGAGGAAGGTAAAACTGGCGAATTTTGAGGAGTTTTGAAATTTGAAGAAAATAATGGATAAATTCCAGAAATCCGAACCTCAAACTTGTCCTCATCGGCGCTGCAGAGCAAGAAGTCGTCGACGTCAGCGACGTCTTCGCTCAGGCTTCGGCTCAAAACCGGCAGGATGAGCTCGAATCGCGGCCGCATGATGATTGTCGTCGTCTTTCCGCCTTCCATAGACTTGGTCTCAAAGGTTCTCGAAAAGCCGACGAGCGACGGCTGCAAAAATGCCAAAAAGTGAATGGTTTCTGGCAAAACGAGGCACGATTCTGGAGGTGGAGTCGAGCCACCCACAAATAAACAAAAAAAAAGAACGGAAAGAAACCGTAAAATAACAAAAGGCTCAAGAGTGGCACTATATCGCGAGAGGTGGCGGCACACGAGGAGGCGGAGCTTGTCGAGATCAGAAATGGGCGTGGCTTGAGATCTTTGAAGAAATGAACGGTACGATGCCTTGGGGAAAGAAAAGGTGAGAAGATGGGAATAATGAGATTTTCTGGGGGAAAAATTCTAGTGGCACTTCTAAAAAGTCAAAAACTAATAAACTTAGAGTGAAATAGTTGTAGAGGAAGTTTTACAAAGAAGGTCTTATTCAAAAATTTGGGAAAAAATTGAATTTCTTCAAAATCTTTCTGAAGGTCTCGACGAAAATTTACTTTCTAAACTTCTGTGTAAAGTTCTAATTTGGAGATACGATTTTTCAAAGTAGTGAACATTTGGATTTCGTACTAGACGAAAGGTTTAAAAATCTATCTCAAAAACTACAAACTTGCCAAGAAACCTACTAAAGAGAGTCTGAATTAAGGCTTTCAGAAAGGATTTGAGGAAAATTCAGAGACATGGAAACTGAACAGTAAAATGACCTTAAATGTAAAAGAAAATGTCTTAAGAGTGACTAAAAATGGAGGCGGAACTTCCCAAGATCGGAAATGGGCGTGGCTTAAGATCTTTGAAGAAACTGTACTTGGGATGCCTCAAGGAAGTTCAGGTGAGAAGTGGAACCTTTGAAACCGTGGGAATTAATTTTTGAACAAAGATTTAGGGAGCTTGGTTTTGCTCAAATATTACGATTCGGATAACTATTCGTTCAATTGATTTAACTTCAGCTTCTGACAAAGCTCAAAACACTGATTTCGAAAATCCTCAATAATTTCAGACTTTAAAAGTTTTGAAACGTTTCCAAAGATGCGCAAATCAAAGGAATTGCGCCTATTTCAAAAATCGACACCACCTGAAATACCAACCCGATGGAAAAAATATTATTGGCAATTGACATCTACACACAAAAGAAAGCTATAAAAGTTGCGGAGGGAAGAATGGAAATGGGCGTGGCTTCGTGGCTACCGTAAACCCCCCAAAAAGTTATTTTTTTCTTGATTTTTCATCAGTTTTGAATAGATGATTTTTATCTAACTGCCTACCGTACGACTTTCATTGATAAGAAAACGAAGATCGAAGAATTTTCTCTTCAAAGAACCTGCCAATGGCGCAAGGTCATTGGGGCTCTCGTTGTGGAAAAACAAGACAGAGCGTAGGTCGAAAACTTTTTTCTTTTTTTGCAACTGCGGGCGCAGAAAAAAATGGGCAGCAGAAAAAAAAAGAAAGGGATAAGAGAAAAGTCAAATTGAAGATCATTTTGTTTGTCAGGGAGAAAGTATTTTAATGCCTCCATTTTCTTTGCAAATTAGTTCTTCTGGAGGTTAAGGCTCTAGCCAAACTCCATGAAAACCTGATCAAGAAAATTAATTTTTCAGGCTCCGACTCGAGTAACATTTGCTGAAAGGGCACTTTTTTAAGGCGGTAAGAAAAACGAGAATCGCTCAAAACCACTTATTGGAGCAAAAAAGGAAAAGGTTCACAAAAATAATAAAATCGTTCTATCAGGACCTTTCACAATAAAATGTTCGACTTTCCTGTCTTTTCTTTTCTGACGAGAAAAAGCATTTATACTATAAAAAACAGCCAAAAGATGATGAAAACTAAGAAAAAGGAAAAATTTGAACTCAACAAAAACGTCACCAAGTGACGCCAGCCTTGTGAACCAGACAATGAAGGAACAAATAATATTTTCTAAATAAAAAAGAAAACAAAACAGAACAGAATGTTCTCGAAACGTTGCTGATCAACAGGAGGGGTGCAAGGAAAACAAGACTCTGTTTCTTTGATATTCCCACTGAAGCTGCAAAACAATACAAACGGAAGGTTCAAAGATCCGCTCGAGAAGGCGTTTTTTGAACTCGACACATGCATTCGCCATCAAAAACGTACAGCAGCCTAGGAATAGCGACATAAAACACATGAGAAGCAGCTGATTGCAACAAAAAGAAGAGAAAAAATGTCTTCTCTTGAAAAAAGCAATGTCTTGCCAAATTCTGATTTTTTTTAAATCTTGAGTCAAATGTTCGAACAGTAGTTATTTCAATTATAAATGAATCATAATTATTTGTAATATACCTAAAAAGGCTTCTAGATTTAATTTCAGTTTCGCATGAAAAATAAATTTGCAAAAAAAAGTTATTTTGTTATTTTTTTTGTCTTCTTGCGCATTTTTAGTTATCAATGATAATCTTCTAACGAGCCTCAAGGATCGATTGAAAACCAAAGAGAAAATTGAGCCCTAAATAGAAAAAAGGTAGGGAAGAATCTCTTTTGAGCTTTCCAGAAGTCACCACTTGAATAAAAACCAAAAATCGCACAATTATCTTGGCTATTATCCTTAAAAATTCAATTGATTCAAGGAATAAGAACTCAAAAAAAGAAAAAAATGCCCTTTTTTTTGTCATCTCCATGGTAACCGTAAGCTTCAGAGTACAAAAAAAGTTGTTTTTCGAATGAAAAGAAAAATAAATTGGTTTTTGATGCTCATTTTTTTGAGTAGAAAAAAATACAGACATTCAGAAAATGACAGTTTCATAGAAGAGGTTCTTCTTGAGGACTTTTGTATTTCAGATGAAGTCCGTATTTGAGATCTTTCAACGAAAAATATCTATAGAATCTTTTTCAAAGATTCACTTTCCTCTGCTTCTTCATAAGGGCCTAAGTTTTGTTGGATTCTTCTCACATTTTACCAGAGTAAATTCATGAAAATCATCTCCGAATTCTAATAGTTTGAAAATATCTTCAAAGTTCAGCGAAACGAAGACCGCCGCAATCCCTATCATCTGTCCCCACGCGTTTTTGATCAAAACAGAAACAGCTGAACGTCGAAAAACGAGCGCCGATTAGCCAAATTTGATAATCAACACTTTGTTCAACAACAGATAATGCACACCGTACCCATTTTACGATCAAAAATCGCCAGTTTGCAGAAAAATCGAGCATTTTTATCGCTACTTTCACTGACGATCTTTGAAAACTTTTCATACATTATTAGCAAATCTCAGTAGATCTAGGGATTGAAGTATTAAATTTTAAAGAAAAAAAAAATTTTTTTCCAACTTGTAATAAGTCAATAAAAGGTTTGAAAATAGACAAAAATCTATGATTTTTCCCAATAGCTGAAAATAACAAGCAAAGAGTTACTAAACAGAAAAAAAAGCAGTAAAAAGTTTTGGCAGCTGTTGTTGCAATAAAAAGACCAAAAAACCAATTCGATCGTTTATAGGATCGAATGTTTATAAATATCTGGGCCTACAAAAACAAACAGCAAAAAACCAAGGCTGCAAAGAAAAAGACTCTAGTTGATAAAAAAAAGAGGCGAAAAAAGATGAAAACTGCAAAAAATCGACTTTTGCAAGTCAAGCAAAACAAAAATGGCGTGATAATTCATAAAAATCTTCGAAATTTCGAAATTTTCTTCGAAAATCAACCAGCAAAATAAGCAATGAATCACGCGATCAACTAAAAAAAAGACTTTTTAACACAAAAATTGACAAGTCAACAGCAACTGCTCCGAAAAGCCACGTGGTATTTTTGAAAGAAAAAAACAGAAATTTCTAAAATGGAGAGATCAAATTTCGGAAAAAAATTTGGTGAGAAAAAGTTTTGAAATGATGCTTTCAAGAAGAAAAAAATACTTGTTTTTTTAGACAAATTAATGGAAAAATATGAACTTTGGATGGTGAAAAAAAGAGAAAAAAAGCTAAAGTCGGAACATATTTCATTGAATCTGTTCAAGAAATATAACACTCGAGTGACCTTATTCTAATAAAATTTTCGGATTTCAACTATTTTTGGACATTCCAAACTTCTTCGCCTACAAAAATCTCGACACGGATTTCATAAGAAACAAAAAAATACGACCTTCCAGTTTATAGAACCCTAAATAATGCATTAGACCAACTTCTTTGGCAAACTGAAGTCTGAAATAATGAAAACATTGGAGGCAATTATAAAGAGCTTCTATTCTATTCAGAAAAAGCTTAAGAACTTTGAAAAACAGTAAAAATAAATCAAGAAGAAACAAAAAAATAGAGAAAACATTAGTCTTTCAAAAAAGGTGTCATTAGAATTCGTCATTGAGCAAATGTCCCCATGGCGGTAGATCAAAAAGTGTCATGAAGATGTGAAAAGAGTGACCCAACGAGAAGTTGACAAGGGAATTGCGCCACTCAAGAGGACAATAATGTCATTTTTGGTTGATTATGTGTTAATTGAGGTTGTTTCATTGAACAAAAGACACCAAAGATTGGAAGATTCGCACATTTTCAACACATGAACGTGCCAAAAAGGGTCATTTTCCATTCTTGAAGGTCAGATTTGAATAAGGCTTTGAACAAATATTTTATAATTTTTTCGAAGACTGGTTTCAAATTTTTTTTTGGAAGGCTCTGAAATATGTTCTAATGGGTCTTCAATATTTATTTTTTTCCAAAAAAATTATAGTTCTAGTTATTTTACGAGAAGAGCCACATCAAACTATGTATTTAACACATAGAGAAAATATTTGACCTCTTTATCTTGGATCTTTGAAACCTTCCCTCACATTTTTATATTTTCAAGGTAGAAAATTCCCCTTTTTTAACTCTTTCCAAAACTTTTTTTTTTTCTTCACAGGTGGGGTTAGTTAATCCACCTAGTGGTCTTTTTCCCTTCCTGCAACATCATCATACCATCCCGATGTTGCGAAAAATAAATTGAATTGATTGAAAAAAGAAGTTAAAAGGTCAAAAAATGCCTCAGAAGTTTGTATAAATCAAAAAAGGAAAGATTGATCCCAAAAGCAGCAAGCTTGAAGAAAAATGAAAGTTTCAGGAGGGATTCCTCAGCCCCCAACAGCCACTTTACACTTCAAAAAACTCGAAAAGAATGTTTCAATCACTTTGAAAAGTTCAGAGGGAGAAGAGGAAAAGAAGTGTGGAGAGTATTGATCCGGAAGGATATGGATGAGAGGTGTGGGAATGTCGCAACAATACCGGTCGCGGTGTTCGATCATCCAGTACACGTGCACTCGCCGGACTCTCGGGGTCAGCCCGATGGAAATCTCCGGCGCCCGACTTTGATTTATAATTGCGCCTGTGGCTCTCGAGAGAGCCTCTGTGTCCACCGCCGGAGAAGCTGCCGACCGACGGCTGTTTTCGCCGATAAGCACTTCTTACAACTGTAGGAAAAGCCGCATTCAACCGAAAGAATATTCAACCGAAAGAACATCTGAAAATCGAGCTCCAGAAGTTTATGATCAAAAAAAAATCGCAGCTTCTAAGTCTTCTCTCCCAAAAATAACCTGGATTCCCCTTTTAAACTCTATCCAAAGATTCTGATTCAGAAATGGAAAATAAAGTAACAAAATACTGTAGCGAAAATTTTGAGTAAAGGAACTCCTGATTGATAATCAGTCTTCATAGCTAGCTTAATTTTAAACAATTTTCCAAAAATCAATATTTCTTCGTATCTTCTAAATCTCACAACTGCTCCAAATGTATTTACTATTATCAAAGCTTCATTTGGAGCATGAAGAAAAATCTGGAAAACCAGGGTCCTAAGTCAAAAAAATGTCGAATTCGACCAAAATATATTTTTTTACTTGAAAAATTCTCACAAAGAATATCAGGAATCGACATTTTTTTAAAGTCACTAATTACAGAAAAAAACGCTAGAAACCTCTGGAGGTAGAGTTAAGAACAAAAAAGCTGAAAAAATTCATTTTATTTGGTTAAAAACTCCTAAAGAAAAATAACAAAGTTATTGCTTATAAATTTCTACGGAATCGGTAGAAAAAAATGCCTACAAAAAAATCATTATCAATTCCTAACGATCGACTTTTTTTCAATTTCGAGAGAAAAAGCAGTAATAAGCAGGGACAGATAGTTATGGTGATCACACTGTGAGCTCAGAAAAACTTGGTTTGAAATTTTGGTATAGCCTCTGTACCACGACTTGGAATTTCATGGTACGACATACCGCTGTGCCGCTGCGCGCCTTTGCGAACCTCGCTTTTAATTTTTTTTTTCTTTCATTAAGGTACTCTACTTTCATGTGCTCTCACAGCAATAACAATCAAAGGAGAGCGTGACCTAGATTCGAAAGACGCTTCGCGAACGCACGCAGCGGAACACCGGAATGTCGTTCCGTGAAATTTGAATTCTTGGTACACAGACTATAAATGTTGTCAGCGGTTTGTCACGTTTCTGAGTTCTTATAAAATAATAATAAAAAGACTCTGGAATAATATGCAATGATGATGAGAAGCGGTTTGGAAGAAGCTGCGGGGGATCGTTATCAGCGAGGATGGCAAGGTGTGGACAACGGTCGAGACCGAGAAAATGGGTCCAGCGACGCCGAAAAGTGCGGACAAAACGGCGGCCATGACCCACGCCGCTGCTTATCGCCAATATTGTCTACCTCATCTTTTCTAATAAAGTCGACACAAAAATCCGCTGAAAAACTTTTGAAAAAAAGCCGACGATTTTTTTCTTGCTTACAGAAAAATCTATTGGTTTTTGAATTTCAGATTATAGGACGATTTCTGAATGAGATCTGAATCACTAGATGCAGCTTCATTCAAATTTTACGAATCTGGGGTCAAAAAAATGCCAAGGATGACTGTGAAAAAGTCTACAGACGTCTAAATTTGTAGAATGGGCAAATTTTTGCCACTGGGCAGTAGAAATAAAGTTTTTAAAAAAGCCGAAAAATTTTTTTTTTTGATGAAGTTAGAGAAAAACTTCATAAGTTACCATAACTGGTTAGAGCGCAGCGGTTTCAGGTATTTAAAGGTGACTTTTCAAGTTTTGAGATCCTTGTGAGACTGAATCAAGATTTTTCTTCAAGAGTTTGGTCAGAATTGGTCCGAAAAATCCGTCAAAAAAAACCCCAATATGTTATTTACCAAGTTGAGATCCTTGAACTTCTCCCAATGACTCCAAAAATCAACTTGGAGAAGTATCATCAGTTCCCTTGTCTCCGACAGAACAAAGAGAACCGTACAGCTGACCCGGCCGTTCAACGCTTGTCACCAGAATTTCAGACGATTATCAATCAATCAGAAGTGCAAACGATTCTCGATTGTGTAACCACTGGGTCTGTTTTCGATGGTTTACAGGTTCCAAATGGCTCATCACAGGTGATTGAGAGGAAAAATGGGAGTTCGGTTGCAAAAAAAACTATTAAAAATTAAGTAAAAAATTTTTTGGTCTTTATGAGATATTCTCGAGCAGCAAATTGAAAGCTGGATCGACTCAGAACTTGGTAATCCGTTAAACGATCAAATTTAAGACTTCTGAAGCCAAAAAAAAAAGAGCTATTTTATAACTCAAAACAACATAATTTTTTTGAGGTTGAAAAAAAAAGTTACTGAAAAAAATTCCTAAAAAGGGTTCGCGGGGTTAAATCGGCTCCCAGGTCACTTACTAAAACTTTCAGCTTTAAAAAAGATCAAAAATTTCAGCTGAGACTACTTTGACCAAACCCCTTTTCTCCAAATTTAGGTCAGTCCTAATCATTATCCAGTTCTCATCATAAACTCTTAACGGCTCGTTTTTCCCAAGTAATGAAGCTCAAAAAAACAACAACAAAGGGGAAGCCGAATCGCCACCGTAAACTGTCCGATAGGGCGCAGATTAATCGGGTGAAGGCCCAGCTTCGATTAGAATCTTCCGTTTGTGTTGCACTTGGTCACGTGAAGGATACACGTGAAAAAGTTCAGGACACGTGTCGAAGACTACCATAGGACGGAGAAAAACGTGAGGGCTGTCGAGGCTGACGCAACACCCGACTGAACCCAATGGCAGACATCGCTGTGAACCTCGGGAACAAAAGTACCAAAATTGGTGATTCCTCACAAGGAAGGTAATTTTAATAAAATCTTGGAATTTTATGAAATTCAGCTCACATGCGCCCTGAGGTGCACGATGTAGGCCTTGCAAGTTTCAACTTTCAAAATTTCCTGGTTTTTCAGAAGTGAGGCTTCGAGGTTCGATTTTCCTTTACTCTTAGAAAAATGTGAAAGTCCACTCAAACAAGTAAAAAACTTAACAAGTTAGGAAGGAGGAATGTCTACAAAGATATTGAAAAATGAAGAAAAACACCAAATTACAGCCTCAGACAGGAAGTTAATGTTCTCAAAATTTAATTTATTTTCATGGAGTTAGTACTGATTTTATTTAAAGAATACTAACGAGGAGGTTACGATGGCTATAAACAATTTGCCTGTCCATTTTTGTATTCGGTAAAGATCTTGGAAGCTTTAATTTGTGAAGCTTCCCGGTATTGAAAAATGTGGCTTTGAAGTTCGACTTTTCTTCACTTTGACTTTTTTTTGAAAATACTTTAAAATTTGCTGTAATGTACTCGATGAAGCTTTTGGAGGTCTTAACATGTGAAAATCCCTTTTTTTTCAAAATGAAAATTTGAAGTTTTACTTCACTCTTCGAAATCTGTGAAGAATCGCTCAAATGTGCTCTTTGAACTTTATGAACATCTTGCAAGTCCGAACTTGTAAAACCTTTTGGTTTTTTAAAAAGGAGGCTTGAAACTTTGTGTTTTTCAAAAAAAGATCAAGAAAACAGTCTTCGGGAGATCTTTCTTCAAAAAAAGGTTATAACTTCCTGTACCTTCAGATATATCAAGAATATTTGATCAAATATTTAGATATCTATCAAATTTGAATTAATGACTTTTCTGTATGCCTATCCGAAAAAATAAAACGAAAAAAGAGAAAAAACCTGAAGATTTATTTGTTTTTCAAGCGAAAATGTTCCACTATGCACCCAAAACGTCGAAATCGACTTGATTAATTATATTTTTTTTGACTCTTCGCGATTTTTCTGGAGCGGACCATTGAACGTTTTCGCTTCACGAATGCCGAATATTTGTCATTTTTGGGGTGAAACTGGACTTTGAAATATTTTTTGATGCACTGAGGTCGATGAGATCTTGATAAGAGCTACTGTAGTTTCATTGAGCTCGGGTTCATTATTTTCCTTTGGTATTGAAAGAAATTGAGAGGGATTTCTAGAAGTGTACTATAGAATATTTCTTCGAACCAGTGGTGAATGAGAAATATTTTATAAACTCCTTGTAATAAAGCTACAGTATCCTATTGAGGTAATGTCCTGTTGAAAGCATTTTCGGCCAAATCAAAAATGTTTTTCCGTTTGAAAAGATTTCGTAAATTATTGGAAATCCCGTTTAGAAATAGGGTTACAACAAGAAGCTCCTATTACGCGCGAAACTCCAAATTTTGAAATTAAGTAGGAATATTAACGAAAATTTAAATTCTCGCGTAAGGTCACCATAATATCGTGGTGAGACCCAATTTTAAACAGCTCCGCTTTTCCTACTTTGCCTATTCTGAGAAATCATTTAAACGCGTCAATTTCGAAACCACAGACTTTCTAAACATCCCTCGTCACAAAATTACAGTATCCCAGTGAGATAAGACTCCAAAAAAGCATTTCTGAGGAACCTACACACCAATCGGTCTATTTTAGTCCCGGTCAAAACGTTCGGAGAAGAAAAACGCTATCATTCTCCCATAACGATAAAAATCCTCGTTAAAGCCCAACGGGGAAAAAAGAAAGAAAGTGGCGTGTCATCGAAACTTCGAGAAACGACTTAAAGAACGTCCAACTCGACAGCCTGCACTTGTCCGTTCTCTCCGTTCTTTCCGAGAAAAATTGTAACTTTCAAAGAGAAGCGGAGAGAGATGGGGATGATATCTTTCGAAAAAGGGACCAAGTTTCATGTATTTCTGGTTTTTCGAAAAGTCTAACTTTACTTCCGTTCAATAAACTACTAGGGTTGACCATAAATATTGTTGAAAAGTAATTTTTTAGAAAATAAATATAATTCTCAGGTTCAACTTTGCTATCATAAAGGAATACTCGATTCAAAAATGTCCGAAGCGTAAATTAATTGAAACTTTTTGGAGCGTTTCAAAAGTTTCCCAGACAAAAACACAAGAAATTAGAGAGAATCTTTATCTAGTCTTCAAGTCTGAAAACATTTCGAAACTCACTTCATTTGCTAAACTTTCAAATTTGAATCTAAAATGATATTTCTTCCACCTTCTTCTCTCATTCGATACAGTCTGACTTGTCTGCGCTCTCTTTTCCCTCATCGCCGAGGTTATGGAAAAAATTTTAAGTCAGAACTTTCAAACGAAAAGAGAAAGAACGACTATAGCCGAAGTCATATCAATAATACTTTTTGCAAAATCGAGAACCCACCTTTCATGAAATATTTGCTCAACTTCTCTCCCAACTGCAAAATGACCATTCCAACACCTTCCACAAAAAAAAGATAAGAAAAAAAAGTCGCAACACTTGAAAGGAAAAAAAGTCAATGTTTGATAAGAATGTTATGCTAAGATGGCCTTCTTTCGACAAGTCAAATCAAAAAAAGTTTTCTTTTCTCGCCTCCGCCGGCGGCCTTCCTCTCAAAAAACTGGATTATCGGCCCCATCTTCTCAATTTCCCGATAAACGCATGATTCGAATTATATCAATATTTTGATATAATTAGGCGCAAAAAAAGAGAAAATAACAAAATATTCGCAAGCCAACATTTATATAAGAAAAAATCATATAAAAATAGTAAAGTTCTAAAAAATTATCAAAACTGACTTTAAAATTGAATCAAATTAAAAATGATTCCAAAGAGTGTACTAACCTATAAAAATACGGAATTAAGGAACTCAATGTTGAAAAAAAAAAACTTGTACCTTTTAAAAAGTTTAAAGGAGCATAGAGAAAATTAAATAAGGGTCTCAGAACGAAGAGACCTTTTTCAATACTTCTTCAAGAATTTAAGACTTCTAAGATCTGTCAGCAAAAAATTTTTTTAATCATTTATTTTTTTCAAAAAAACTTGAAATTTGATCAGAAAAACTGTCCCTTTTTATTAGTATAGCATATAATATTTTTCTCATTAAAAATATCCCCGAACTGGTTCCAATCATTTCCTCGAACAAAAAAATCTTGCAAGTCCAAACCAAACAACTGAATTCGCGTAAACTCGAAACCTGTCTTCAAAAAAAAGAAAAAAACATGAGCTCCGCACTTCAAAATTAAAAAAACTCGACAAAAGAAAAACGTACAGAAACTCTCCAATTTCACGTGAACATTCGCTGAGCTTTCGCACCTGCTGGCTTCGAGTGCCGCCTGCAACTGTTCCGACCTGTTTCTTGGCAAAAATGTTTGCGGAAACAATCGAGAAATGTTTTAAACTACTGAAAAACTGTGAAGAATAGCTGCCTGGACAATGAAAATGAAGAGGTTGTTGAAAAAAAAAGAAGGGAGAAGCAATTGAAAGACGGAATCTATCGAAAAAGCTGATTAATTTGACTGAAAAGTTCCTGTGGTTATATTTTAAATTGGTTAGCAACATAGAAATTTTAGAAACAGAAGAAAAAAAGAAACATTCTTACGAAATGCAATCCCGTTTAAAGACTATTCAACGGGACAAGATATGATTCGAAAATTCGTGAACATTTCGCTCAAAAAAAAAAAATTGAAAAGTGACCTTGCAAATTGCAAAAAATAAAAAGAGTGGGAGAAAAAATCGCTGTAATTTTGAAAAAAAAAATTACGTGGACTTTGCGCGTGATAAATAATGTTTTGTGTGCACCATTTCCTTGCGGCTCAAACAGAGAAACTTACGATATAAAGAAAAAAATGTTCTATTTAAAGTTTTTTTAAAGTTTCTATTTCCTTTGTGTTTTAAGCTTTTTAGATTTTATATTTAGATCTATGATCGCGTTTGAAGATATCGTAACGTAGTCAGAACTTGCATTCATATAACTTCAAATCCCTTTAGGTAATCCTCATTTCAAAGGTTTTTAAAAAAAAATTTGAAGGATCCATGAATTTTTTTAAGATGTGTATTTGTCAAATATGGAAAAAGCTAAACTAATGTTAGAAAATGAAAATTTAAAAAGCAATAGCTGAATCGTTGATCTTTGAAAATCAGTCTGGCTATCGATTTGCTCAAGCTAACCGACTGCTTTTCAACCACTCTTTCATTGTAAAGCGATTCGAGATTGGTATAAACAAGTGGATAAATGGCTTTTTCGCACTCAGTATCCTGAAATAGAGGAGGTCCTGAAAATTTTCAAAGTAGGCTTCAAAGCTTTGTTTTTCGAACTCCGCTTTAAAGAAGCTGACCATTGAGTTTAAAATGAAACGTTCTCCTTTTTTTGTACTGCGCTTTTCTTTTTTGCTCCAATATTATCAGTTTCTGTATTTTTCGAGATTTCAAGACCGAAGGTCACTTCGACCATATCTAGACTTGAAGATTGACGCTTTCCGACGCATCGAAAACAGGCAAAAAAGCGTTTTGAACTGTTATCAAACACGTGAAACCCAGTTTCCCGTCCGGCGGCGAAAAAAACTGACCTTCGCGGTCCCAGGGGAAGCCATTAATTTGCCTTTAATCGTCATTTTAAGGGTCGACGCTTATCTTTTTGGATTGGAAAACCCATTTTATCGTTTGTTATTGATTTGGGCCACTATTTGGTGCGGCCAATGGGGTGATCTCGCTGTTTTCCAAGTGGTCGGATGTTCGAACCTTTTTTGCTGACAAACGTTGATAAAGGGATAAATTGTTGATAGATTCACATGAATGAGATTTTTTGAGAAGAACATAGATAAACTAGGAAAGATACATATTTTTTGTAGACGAGAGTGGAAAGTGTGCAAAATACAAAAGCTATGTACACCTTGATTATTTTTCAGTAAAAAAAACTGGCGCTCCATGAAGTTTGAGATTTTTTTTGAATGAAAAAGGGTGAAAAAAAAAACTAAATTGATTCACATCCTAAGAATGTCTCATAAGGGAGGTCATTTCACTTTGCGGTTCGGAATTCCTTGAAGTTTGGCCAGATTACTCCTTGATGTACTAGAAGAGGATCCTGATTTTGTTAATTTGCAGAACTTCCTAGTTTTCGAGAAATAGGGACTCGAAGCCCCAAAATAGCCTATTTCAACGCATTCTGAAGGTTTTTTCCTACTTCAAGGCGTCCTTACTCAAAAAATAAGAATTTGCGCAGGTTGAGACTTTCAGAATCTTTATCCGATACATTAAGAAGTGTTTTGACCAATTTTCAGGAGATCCCCAACCGCAAAGTAAAGCTGTCCGAAGAGCCTTTTTAAAGCTGAACATTGTTGTCTTTTATATCAATTTATCAAATAACTTGAATTTCCACGATTTTTGTCATCCTTTGAGTTTCCGAGAAATTGTTTTCTTCTCTTCGAGACTATCTCGACCACAGTTTAAACTTTTTTCTTTGCGATTTATCACGACTTTTGCCCAAACGATTCTCACAAACAACATGTGAAAATCTACGTGATTTTTCCTGATACTTTTTGCTTCAAAAAACCTGTCTTTTGTGATTCCGGTGATGGATCGGTCTATGAGGGTGAAAATAGAAACGAAGGAGATCGGAAACTTTTTCAAAGTGATCTAAGTTCTGGAACAAAGATTTTGAAAAGTTGCGACCACCGATCGGAGTTTTTTTGCAAAGCTGAAACAAAGGAACCATTGTGAACGATAAAATGTCGAAGAAAACAGTTTTACAGCTTTTGCCTGGTCAAAAATCGTCTTGAAAGCCACATTTTGATAGTTTTCTGATTGTGAGGATCCTGGTAGGCTTTGAAAATGATCATTACCAAGGAAAGCTAGAAATTGGTGGTTTTTAATAGTCTCAGAAATGGTCTCAGCTCCCAGGGGGACTTCTGAATGAGATAAGGTCCACTAGATGTAGTTTTTCACGCTGATTCCGAATCTTTCCTCGGAAACTGTCGTGGAGGCCCGTGAAAAAAGTAAAGCTTTCAAATGTCGAAATTTCTGTCTCCGTTTGAGTTTATTTATCATGTGTAAAGAGGTCTCATTGATTACAGAAAACCAACTATTTTCCTTCAAAACAATTTTAAAGGTCAGATATGATTTTTCAAAGCTTTGCGCATTCAAAGGAAGGGTTCATTGCAAGTTAAATGGCTGTATAGTCTGTGTGCCTGAAATTTCGCGGAACGACATTCCGCTGTTCCGCTGCATGCGTTCGCGAAGCGTCTTTCGAATGTAGTTCACGCTTTCAATTTATTGTTATTGCTGTGGGGGCACATGAAAATAAAACATTTTGATAAAGGAAAAAAAAAAATAAAAAGCACGACCAAGGTTCGCAAAGACGCGCAGCGGCACAGCGGAATGTCGTTTGGTGAAATTCCAAGTCGTGGTACACAGACTATAGTATCAAGGTGAACTTTATCCATTTTGAACAATTCCACGGCGTTTCAAAAGCCGTAGAAAACGAAGTATACATCAAAATTTCAACTAAAAACAGGCGTTAGACCTATCTTTATCGGAACAAGGAAGTTCAGGTTCTTCATTATTGCCCTTTGACAAAAATATTTGTGGTAGAATGGAACAACAGAAAGAACAAACGGTGGCCTTTTCCGCCTGATTTATTGATAACGAAAAGAGAAATCAGTGTTGATTGATGAATAATATTGTTTAAAATATTTCAGAGGAATTTTTGAACCATTCCCCAACGAGCCATTCCCCATGCGACCCTGAGCTTCCAAAATTTTCACCAAAAATTACAAAACAAAGAAAAAAGGAAACAACGTGTAAGGCCTATTTCCTATTTCTCATGTCTTAAGGTTGGTTTCCCCAGAAGCTCTCTGAAAAAAATATGTTTGCAGAATGATTTTACGATTAAAAAAGGTTTTTTATTTGATTCTTCTTTTTGTTATTCTAGTAGTTGCTCAGGACGGGCGCTCCGATCAGAAATGCAAGGTTTTTTGAACTTCCGCTTGAGAAAAAAAAAAGCAAAATTATTCAGAAAATAAACAAGTTTGGTTGGAAAGAAGTGACGAATCAAACGCTTCACGACGCCTGTGCCAAGAACATTTTGACGAGTCTTTGTAATACTGGGCTTTTAAAATGCGAAAGAAGAAAAATGTTGCTCCGGTTTGAATTTTTTTCGCTGAAAATTTAAATTTTCAAAAAAATATTCGAGAACTTGTCCCTTTCTTTTTTTGAAATATTTTTTTGAGGCCGAGAGTCTTTTCTAGTGTTATTTTTTTCGTAACTAGGGACCTTTTTTTTTTTACATAATCCCGTAATAGATCTGTTTTCGAGTTTTGAAGCTTCAAAGCAAAGTCCGCAAAATACGCAAATTATCAAAAAAAAACTTTTCCTAGGGGATCTTTAGCGGCAAACCAAGAAATCTACTTTAGATAGACTGTAACAATGGAATGTCGTATGTCCTTTGATTTTGAATTAGAAAAAAATTGAACTTTAAAAATTTTTTTGAACGAAAAAAACTTTTCCAGGGTTTTGTGCAGACGGTTCTCCAGGTAGCTTGACAAAGTCAGGCTCAAATTGTTCCAAAAAAACTCCGATTGTGTTCTCAAAGCTCAAAAAGACAAGTTTCTGATGTTAGTTGGTTTTTCTGATTTTAAAATTGTCCTTCAAATGGCCAGAGCTTCATGGCTTTATGTTCTATCTAAAAAAATTGACGACTTTTTTTAAATTTCATTTTTTTCTGCAAGAATTGATAACCTCTTCATACTTTAGAGGATCAAGCTTCGAGAAATAAATAAATATTTTTTTCAGATCCCGTTGCATCGGTGGTTCGTTCTGTTGTTATGGTGAGAAAGAGAGAATAGAACTTCATCATTTCAAATTTCAGAGCACTCGACGTGCTCCACCGGAATGGCCGCCATCCAACCGATTCTGGACGAATTTGGCGAAGAAACTTGCCCCCAAAGGGCATATATGGAGACAGATCTTCAAGGGAGCGTCTGCTGTCGTTCGTTTTTCTCGTATTCATGCTTTTATAAAAAGAAAAACGCCTCATGAAGAAGAGCGAAGAACAAATAATGAGAGAGTCAAGAAAAAAACGTCCGAAAAAAATTTTTTTTTTGTAAAAGGAAAAGCTGAAAGACAGACAGAGCTGGCGTTTTTGAAGCAATTCGAAGAAAAACTCGAATACCAGAACTTTTATAGAAGTTATTGCACAGAAAGGAAATATATTGGAGAGAAATGAGAGTACAATTCCATGTAGACTGGCCGGAGCGATTTTTTAAAATTGCACCCGACCGTTTCGACCCAGATGAAGATCATCCTCGCTCTTTAAAGTTAGAAAACGGTCTTCATCTGTGTCTCTGGTCCTTCTTCCAAGGGCTTTTCATCTCAAAATTTGAAAAAATACACTCTCCAAAAAAAACTCGAGCTTTCAGCCAAGCCAATCTCCTACACGTTGTCTTGGCTCTCGGACCAGGTGGATGAACTGCTGCCAGTCGGATTCGTGCACGCGACCGGCTACTTTCCTCTCTCGACCAAAAGCTGCAGCAACCACGACGACTGCAGCCCCGACGAGTACTGCGAGGCCGCCGCCAACGAGTTCAACACCGCGAATCGTTTCTTCGACAACAGCGACTCTGACGGGAATCCTCTCCAGTTCTGCTATAAATGTGAGAATCGAGGAGGAGTTTTGAAACTTGAAGAACTTCTCTTTTTTTTTAGAAACGTGTCAGAAGACTTGGGGACTTTCCAGTAGGGAACCCTTAATATTCGTATGACGTAATGTGACTAGAAACTTACAGAACTGTGTAGAAACTCTAGCGGCGTAGCTCAACAGGTTGTGTTCCTGTCTACGGTCCACAGGGTCACAAGTTCGATCCCCGCTGATACTCATCAAAGGGGTTTGAGTAATGTTGAGAGGGAAACCACGACTTCACAATGCTCAAGCCGTAAAAAGGGATGAGAAGAAATATAGAACATTCTAGAATCAGGCCTAATAAAACCATTGTGCTCCAACCCTCATTTCAGAAGTTCAAAAATTTCAACTCTGTCCATAAGGGTGCCTTTTTTTAAATTAGAAAACTTGAATTTAGTGTTGACGCCTTGGGGTCAGGTACAACGGCAACGGAACCTCGGACTCCAGAGTTGCCATTCTTTCGAAGACTGCAAAGATTCCTCGTACTGCTACAAGTCGACCGGAAGGAGTCGAAGACCTACTTTACTCGGCGACGGCGTTTGTTTTAAGGGTTCGTTGGTTTAGATTCTAGATTTGCCTTCATCTGAAACTTAGATGTACCTTTTTGAAATAGGAATTTGATATTCTCTATTCAATAAAATTCATTGCCTGAACGCTTTTCCTTGTGATTTCTTTTTCCAGCGAATTGTTCTTTATGGAACAAAACGAGCCCAGCCGACACGACAGTGAACGACGTTCAGTGCAAAGAAAACTCAGAATGCCTAAAATCTGGGCCTTTTCGAGACCAAAAATCTGCTCCTTTGGAAAACTTTTATCTGTAAGGTTCTTTTTCTTTTCTGATACACTCCGTTTTCCGCGACTTGAACTTTTCTACCAGTCTGCGTCTCTCTTTTCTCTCAATGTCGAGGTCAGAGGAACATGAAAATAGAACGTCAACAGGAGAGAGACGTCGAGAGAGGAGGAGGGCGCAGAGAAGTCCTTTCAAGTCGCAGAAAATGGACTTTTCGATGCTTTCTCCTTTTCAGAAGGAAATGTGTCAATGTCGGCACGTTCAAGTCTAGAACTTTGAATCTTTGCTGCTATGGTGAGACCAAATCCAGAGACTTCAAATAAATCAACTTTTCAAGACAAACTGGATGAGGACATTTGTAAGGAAGATCAGATAATCGAACTTACAAGCGATGGGAGCGATTTTCTGAAGTGCCTTGATCCTCCGGAAAAGGAGGGTAAGAAAGTTGATCCTGTCGAGGTAAGGCTAGAAAAAAGGTACTCCATTTTTCGCGACTAGAAACTGCTGTTTTTCTCTGCGCCTCCTCGTCTCTCGGCGACCCTCTCCTGTTCTCGTGCTATTTTTATGTGTCTCTGTCCTGGGCGGTGAGAGAACAGGGAGACGCAGACAGGTGAAAACCGTCAAGTCGCGGCGAACCGGATATACTTATAATAATTATTTTTTGATTCGTTTTTTCGCGAAACGCCTTGGAATTTTTTTGGATCGCTTTTTCCTGACTGCGTTTTTGCGATATATTTATGATACTAATCTAATTCTTGCGCCCGACTTTTTCCTGCTTCATGCTGCCTCAGTTTGAAACAAAAATCATAGTTTAACCTAATCATTAAATGCATCTACAGAGAATAAGTTCAAAAAAATAATCATACCTTTCAGGAAAAAAATTACGATAGTGTTACTGATTGGAGTTGGAATTTTCTTGGCGGCTGCTTTGATTTCTTTGATTCTTCTTCTATTTTTCATGAAAGAACCCAAAAATCGAAAAAAGAAGAAAGTCAAAAAGAAAGTTTCACCTCCACCAGGTTAGCTTCACCCTAATTCATCAACCTCCCTATTCATTGAAATTTTAGAAGTCAAAATTCCTGTCAAAGAAAAATCCCAAGATTTCTGAAGGCCAAGCGAGGAGAAGAATTTCATAGTATCTACCGAATTACTTCAAAATAATGTTTTCTGAAACCAATTTCAATTTTCGAAGATAATAAATGACATCATTACGTGTTGGAACAGAAAGAATGAGTCAGGAAGAATTTCCGTGGAGGTTGCAGGAAATTCGATACTTTCGAGACCGAGGAACTTATCAAGTATCTGTTCCCGTCTTGTTACCTTCGTAATGTGCTTACATTTTTCACCTTCTAGAAACTTTTCAACCAATTTTTCTGAACTATTACCGTTTCAGAAGACTTTTTTTAAAATATGAACTGACGAAAAGTTAATTTTTTACGGCCTTCAGTGTAGTAGAAGCTATATTTATATACTGTGTTCCGACGTATCGAGTTTGGATGAAAATTTTGTGGTAGATAATTTTGGCTGAAGGGTTCCAAAATTTCGAGTTTTTTATTTTGTCTTTTCAAAAAGTCCTCATAATTCAAAAACCAAAATCTTTGAGACCAAAATCCGTTTTCACCGTTTTTTAGCCCAGGAAAAACTTTTAGCTTTCAAAGCATCTTAGCAAGAAATTTCATTCGCGAGGTACCTCAATTTCTCAAAAAGTTGTTGTCTTTGCTTGCTCGAAAGTTTTGACACGGAAAAAATCATGCCTCATCCATCATAATCGTCAATAAATTCCTCACATCGATGTTAAAGCAAGGGGATAACTCAAAAGAAAATAAAACTACTCGGACGTTAGTATCGCGAAACGGACGTGCTCCGGACGTTTCTGGGCGATTCTAGGGATCACTTAAGAGGCTACTAAAGTGTACACTAGAAATGCCCCGACACGTCCGATTCGCGTCCTGTTCGCGTTAATAAGGTCCGAGTATACTTGTCCATCAACTTTTTTTATAAGTGAAATTGTGCTCCATGGACAAAAGTAAGGGAAATTGAGCTTTTAACTTCGAACTCCTCCACGATCTTGAACCTCGGCAAGGCAGACGGGAAGCGCCTTGAACGATTTAAGACTTTCTAGTGACCCCTTCCGTGATTTTAGCCCTCTTAAGGGATCACGTCACTGAGGTCAGAGAAAAAAGAAGCAATTTGGCAACATTGTCTGTGATATCGGTCAGTCACTTGTGCCGTCAATAAATCACGCCTGAAAGTGTTACAAAGATCGTTGGCCAGACGCCAGGGCTCCACGGGCAGCTTCTTCTTTCTATTCTCTTTTCTGCGTCGATTAATTTGATCTGTCGGCAGGTGTGGAAATATCCTTCTTTTTTACTTTCCTTCTCTTTTTTTCAAGGGTAGGATGATAATCAGTTCAAAGTTCCTGTGACTCTTGTTTTTTGTTCTCTACCAACATTTCACGGCTGTTCTTCATGTCTTTTCTTCTCAAGGATTTATTGAAGCTAAATTTGCTCTCAAATAACTTTTTCATTGTTTCAAATAGTTAATTTGAATCTCATACAACAAGCTCAGCTTGTTCCAGATCTTTGTTGGAATTGTTGAAAAAGCTGAGGATTATTTTCAGTGGATTAATTTAAAAAAATACTTCTATTTAGAAAATTCAACCCCCTGGGATAATTTTCAGCGGCCACTATAGTGGTCAAATCAGTGGCCACTTAAGGGGCTAAAATTAGTGGTCACTATAGAGGTCTCAGTGCTACTACTAGACCACTAAAAATTTCAGTGGCCACTGTAGGGGTCAATGGATCAACATAACTGGTCCAATTTTTTGTTTCAAAATTATAAAAGTTACTGGAAGGAATACTGGATGAAAAATTACTGAAGTGGCCACTAAATAGAGAACCTCTAAAGTAGCCACTAAAACGGAAAATAGTGGCCACTATAGAGGTGGGTTTAGTGGCCCCTTTAGTGTCTTCTCCAAGAAGTCCGGACTTCAGGACGTCCTTGGCGAGCCTCTAAAGTGGTCACTAAAATTTTCCCAGATGTTTAAAAAAAAAACTTGAAATTCACTTCACTAAAGGTCTTCAGAAATTTCTAAATTACCAACTAAAACTGTTCATTTGTATTTACCCAAGTTCGAAAGTTCTTTTTAAAAAGGTTTCTTCAGAAAATCTAGCTCTTTCCCGAATTCTTTTCCTAATGGTACTATTGTTTTCTCCATTCCATCCTAATTTTGTTTTCCTCCGAATTCCTCAAGACTATAGTTTATAGAAGATTTCTCATTACATCTGTTCGTCGTTTTGGTATAGCCAAGCTATTAGTTTTTCTTCATTCTGTCATCAAAGTATATAAACAAAACCGGAAAAACGGCTGGAACCCTCAGCTGTGCGTTCCGAAAGTCCGTTTATTTTATCTCCCATCTTTTTGTTGCCCACGTGCCACTCATTGTTCTAAACATGAAAGCTCTTCCTTCTTATTCGCGCTGATGGCGTGACTCTCAACACGTTTCCTTCCTTTTTGTTCTCGAGATTAATTTATTAAGATTTTCTGGAGAAAAAATCAAAAAATTCTGAAGAAATTCTAGTAAAAGCCTTCCTAAACAGAATTGTTCTTTTAGGGAGAAGTTTTCTAAAAAATTCGGTTGAAAAATCTTCACTACTAAGAACATTTTTAGTGGCCACTTTAGAATTTGACATTTTAGTGGCCACTGTAGTAGTCGATTTAGGAGCCCCTTCAGGGAATAGATTTTAGTGGCTGCTTTAGAAATTCAAGGGGTACTACGAGACAACAAAAATTACTGTAGTGACCAATTAGACGTAAAGTAGCGACATCTATAAAGTCCACTTCAGCGGCTTCTCCAAATGGTCTTTGAGAAGCACCTTAAGAGGCCACTAGAGTTTCTCCTAATAGAATGTTTAAAGTACCATAGATTTATCTCATGAAGGTCCCGAAGCGAAGAGTTCATTTTTAGGCATGTAAGACTTCTTCGCCTTTAAGAAAATAATCATTTTAAAAAGTTCCAGCGACAATTTTAAAAGAAAATGTCATTTTTCTTTTTGAAAAAAACTTTTTTGGCTTCTCAAAATGTGTTCCTGACGCTTTAAACTCAATTCCGAAGTAAATGATTGACACCTAACTCACCAATTTGTTCCTCAATCAATCTGAACACGACAAATTCCCCGATTGTTGTCAAACTCGGCCGTTTTGAACCGATCCAGTTGTTTTCGTCACCTTGAAGTCTCGGCAAAAGGAGTCTCAGGTGCCAACCAACACAACCGCCTCACACACACACACACACAGCTGTTCCCTTTCGGACCTTGGCTTTTTCCGCGTTGTTATATTATAATTTGATGACAATTCGCATAAGTGTGATTCGTTAAAATTTACGACAAAAAAGCGTTTTAAAAAAAATCAAAGCTCTCGGTTTAGGGTAAATCCTTGGTAATTTGAATAGCTCAAGTTTTCGAAAAGAAAAAACCTTACTTGAGGGTTTGAAAAGGCATAAAATGGTCTCACAGCGATGAATCGTAAAGTCTTTTTGGTCTATTCTCTTCAAGACCTTCTCAAGTGCAAGAAATTAACACCTTAAAAGAAAGCAAAATACAAAATGAAAATGAAAAATGTTTATTGAAGAATTTTTTTTCGAACGACCGTTTGCCGTTAGCGCGTACTTTCTCTTTTTAACAGAGAGAACGAATTTTTTTTCCTGATTTTTCGATTTTTAATTTTCTTTTTGCTATATTGTTTATTTCGAATCTTGGTTTTGCGCTCGAAGATTGTTGCATTATTCGCCAGCTTCAGAAAATACTGAAGTATTGTTTGATTATTCCATTGGCTTCTTATTTATTAAAAATGAGTTTTTTATTTAAAATATCTAGTAGAGTTATTTAGAGCATTTTTTGAAGAAAAGCTCATACTATTAAGTTCACTCTTTCTAACCAGTGTTTCACGAAGAACAAAGATGCTTTACGCTTCGAAAAAAATGTAAGATTATGTAGTTTCACCCGCGACGGACGCTTAATACATCTGTTTCTTTATATTCATTTTTTAGTAGCACGCAAAATGCTCCGCGAAGCTTTTCAAACTTCTCGCACTTTTATAAACACTCGAAAATGTTTATAAAGTCCAAAATTTCGCACATTGTTTTGTTTTTTGGCGGATTTTTACGTTATTCTTCGTGGTATCAAACAAAAGAGGCGACATCAATGTTTAATGTATTATTTTGGCTCTTTCACTCAACTCGACTCCGTTTAGCGCCGGAAAAATGCAAAGGTTTTGTCTGGGGGCAAGTAAATGGAGCCGACGACGTCTTATGATGGACGGCGGCTCTCGTCGGCTTTGATTTTACCTTCGTCTACGAGTTGCCGAGTTTCGAAGCGTTCCGAAACCAAGTTTCCTTTGACTTTTTCTATATCAATTCTTTCTCCGGACGGAACATGGCTCATTCAGAATTTTACGCAGTCTTTTGAAATTATCCGAGTTGATACAAATACAAAAAATTTACTTCCAAAACTAAACATGCAAGTTTTAATTGGAGTATTTCAAGTAAAAATGAAAAAAAAAAGGAAAAATCAGATAGAATGGGATTAGAGTCCTTCAAAGAACGTTTCCTCACTTCTCAGGACCTCCAACTATTTTTTTTCTGCTCGTAATTTCCCTACCGCCTACACAAACACCAACGTCTTTATGTCCTTCGTTTCGCGGCCAATATCGTGTAATATCTTTGCACCTTTTTTTAAAACCCATTCTGAGGCCTCCTTCCGTTTGAAAACAACCCAAAACATGTACTATTAATCTTTGCTTTCATAAAATTGAGGATGATATTTCGTAGGCGAGGGAAGTTCGCTCCACTGCCAAATCTTGTTTTTGACAAATTGTTATTGTTTTGAATTTTTCTTTGAGAATGTCAATTTTAGAACGCTTAATTATTTTTTCTCTGAAATTTTTCAACCTGGATTTCTGTGCTGTTTAAAAAGATTAACGAAAGTCTTCAAGGGATCCCTCAAGGGTTTTAATGACTCCCCAGTGATCTTGAAATCCATAACTAAGAAAGAACACCCTCTGAATTTCATTCCAATGAAGTATTTTCGAATCAGCGTGAAAAATACTCTT